TTTGCCCCCCCCCCCCCCCCGCCCTTACCTATATTTTTTTTTCTTAATTACTGTGGAAAAAAATTGTCACGTTCACGCCTCTCGCCCACACTCGCGCTCATCCAGTTATTCACTCTCTCTTTTACTGGGAAGACACTTTGCTTGAGAATCAATTAGTCTATCAATGTTATTAATCCTAGGAATAATTTAATATCGGTCGATTTGCTAAAGTAGCTAAAGTGTAAGTAACTATAAGAGCGAACCGGTCGACCGGTAATCACCGTCACGACGGCTCAGGACACGTCGCGTTGCTCGACATTCATTGTCGGCTTAAGTAATTTGTATTAGTTATAGTAACATCTTATTTATTTGTTGTTTTAGCAAAAATAGCAATTCCGTGCGCGGACGCGACGTGCCCCCGATCATTTTATATTTAATCCGGCTCACTCGCCTCTTATCGCTTCATCAATTAGGCTCGACGAGACTAATTACGAAAGACACAACCTGAGAAACTATCCTTGACGTGTTACAAAGCAAAGCGCAGCCATCATTAACATTAACACCTGGCAACGCAATGACTTTGAGAAATTGGGAAGAACACGGATCGGTCGAGCCATTCGAAAAAGATACTTCCAAAGATCGAACGATTAAAGGGTCTTACGGGTTAGAACTTCGTTACTTATATACGCTGCTACGATGCTCTTTTTCATGAAAGTCCTAAAGAGGAATATTACATAGACTTTTAATCCTTTAAAAAAAAAAAAAAATATATTCCTCTATTGTTACTGGCTTTGGCTAGCAAGGCTTGGTGGCAGGTGATGGGATCGATCGATCTTGGATTTTTCAAACGGGATAAAATATTTAAGTTGATTCTTTTACGTGCAATCAGGTTCCTATACTCGTGCTTATTAATTGTATGTTTTATGCTAATCAAAAGTAATAACGATAATACCAAAGAGTTTCGATAGATTTTTATAAGAAAAAAGGGACACGGAAAAAAGATTAAGTGTAAAGACAAAAATAAGAGACGTCTATTACGAACAGAACATTAAATAAGACACCCCCACGTGTTCCGTGTAGTTCTGCCTAAACAGAGAATCAGGCAATTATTTGGAAATTTGCGAATTTTGTATTGTCATTTCGCTCTATTCGATTTGTTAACTAGAATCCCAATCGCGGCCGGTAGAGCGTCTCTCTTTTGAAATTTAAGGAATTTCAATGAACATTGTGCGCTGCTCTAGTCAGATAGAGCAAAAGATAAAGAAAGATGGAAATAGAGAAAGAAGAAAAAGAAAAAGAGGAATTGATCAGAAACCGAGTTACATCGAATAAGATCATTGCGTATGTTGGAATAATTTTGTAATACTTGGGCGCTGCGCATACAAAGAAATAAGAGTGAGGAATGATGCGAGAGATACCGACCGACCGACCGACCGACCGCATGCGGAAGACTCTCACTAGCTGCGAATGAACCCTTCGAAGGACGACAACGAGTGCGTTGTGGAGGACGCCCCTGGGCTAATTCTACTCTTTCCCATGAAAGCACTCTCTCTATCCCCTTCTCGGGTTCTCTCAATCCTTGTTCGCGTCTCCCTCGCCTATCCATCCGCAAAGGCACACCTACGCACGACTAGGGTTTTCAGAGGGATCACGTTAGCTTTGACTTATTTTTGCGGAATCCGGGAAAGTGGAGTTTACGGCGACGTCGCTTGAGCTCGTCGTTGTCGGCGGTGGAGTTCGAGTCGGTGCTGAGGGTCTCGTCGTCTACCGAGTACACCGTAGGTAGATCCTTCATCGACTTCCTCACTGATCTCCTCTTGCTGTCCGATGAGTCGAGGGAATTCTCGGAAAAGGACGTCTTCGACAGCCCGGAGGACCTCTCCTCGATCACCATGTTCGTGTCCTGACTGTAGGATCTGACCATGCCTGCCTTGTCGCGAGGGTTAGGACGGACAGGCGGACTGATCTCCTCGGTGACATCGCCACCCACTGTGAAGTGTACTGCTTCCGGTGGAGTATCCTTTCCAGTCTCGCTACCCGACGAGTCCGGTGGAACAGACGATTCCTTCCAGGTGAAACTCTCCGGCATAGTTGCTGCTACTCCTAGGGGAAGATTTAATGAGTTACTTCAAAAAGCTATGGACGTTGAGTATAAGGTATATCCTAAAGTCGATGTCCATTTTTTTGTGACTGGAAGATCCTTCATTAGGTCTGTTTGAAATTGTTTTTGATAGTTGGATCTATCTTTTTCGTTATGAATTAAAGGACTTGGATGTACAAAGTATGTATCTGTCATTGTTTTCACTTTAACTGAATTCCTTGCTGATTTTCCACTGGAGTATTCTTCCATGTAGTTCTTGAAAGCGCTGAAACAAAGCTGAACCTATGGAGAAGGCCCTTGCTTTAGCAGGCGTTTTCAATATTAGAGGCATTTTTTGAGGACTCGAATTTCATTGCAGAACTTCAAAGAAATTCGAGGAGGATTAGGATTTCATGTAAACGTGGAAGTATTCCCACGTGCCAGAGTCTCTCGAGTAAATCAAAAAGTCCACTTTCCCTTTCTCGACTTTATTTTGCATTATTCGTCGCCTTTGTTACACGGGTAAGCTAATTAACAGTATCGTCACAAATATATTAATAAGTATATGTATCAATAATTCTAAAATATTATAGACCTAGACGAGTCTATTTGACGTCACGCTACAGTAAATGTAATATACAAAATAGATTTTGTCCTGGCTGATCTTTTAGTTATTTCTTTTTTCACTCTGTACATATCTTACAGTGGATTCGACAGGAAAGTTGGTTTTTATTATTCTTTTGATTAACCATGCTCACGGAAAGAGACCGCACAGCGAAGAAAAAAAAAAGGAAAAGAAAATCACGACTTTAATTTACAGTAGGACTCTGATTTTAAAATTGTTTGTTTCACTTCGTAAAGTAAATCAAAAATAAGCAAAAGAAAGTGGCACGGGGAAGTAGAGAAGTCAGTGAGAATAATTAAAGAGAAACAGAGCAAAATAAAATAAGGGACAGTATTGAACAAACCACCGATTATTAATTGATTGCTCATTTCCATTTTAGAAAAGTTGACTTTAGTTTGATCGTGATTCATATCTGATGTTAATTCACCTTTTTTCGAATTGCCAGAAAATGTCGCCATTGTAGAAAAAATAGAGTTCCATTCCTTCTGTGTAAGATATCCTTTCGTATACATATATAAACATACATAAATATATAATATAAATTTGAGTATAATTTTGTTGTATAGTATATATGTATTAAAAATTCTATCACTGGTTCTACCGTAATTTCTATAATGTGAGACCTATTTTGAAATATTTTTTAATTGTTTAAATCTTTCTACACGTATATCTATATTTTATATTCTTTATATCTAAATGGAATTTTTAGTCAAAGCGCTGACAAAATGCGCTGTTGCATACACATCGCATCTGGAAGCCCGCTTATAAATTTTGAAGTATACTTATGGAAAGGTATTAGCACAATGAAATATAACCCTTCCAGAGTTTCTAACTGTGGAATATATCTAACTGTCCAGCAGTAAATATCACCAATTTCCAATTTGCAAAAAGAAAAAGAATAGCCAGTACAACTGAATTGCACTTTTCATTATCGTGTCCTAACAGAAAGGCACTCATCGTCAGATCAAAATTCAATAAATAGTCTTGTACCGTCTTTACGAAAGTGAGACGTACAGTGAGATTAAACTTTTTGTTTAAAATCCTAATTGTATTTCTGTTCCATTACGAGGGAATTCGTATGAGCAAACGAGGATGAGAAAAAGTACAGAAGAAAGAAGCAAACAGAAGAACTTGTGTTGGGTAAGGATTGAAATTCAGACAGCGTGCAATAAAATTCATTTTCTCGTGTCGATCAGCATTGAACAATGGTCAATCGGTGTGCTCGTTTTCCAAGCTTTCTGATTCCAGCTTACCTGCTGCAGAACCTGTAGACGTCGGCGAGTAAACCGAGCTCACTTCGTCGTCTAGGTCGTCCTGGCTGCTCATTCGACCTGAAACAGAATTTTGAAAGCGTGTCAAATTCAATGTTATTTAACCGTGTACCTCGGATCATTATGTGTCTTTACGCAATAGTTTATTATCCACTGTTATTGGAAGCACCGTTTTTTCACTATCTCGGTCAACACCAAAGCGAGATGAGAGTAGATATTTAAACAATTGATAACTAATACCTCTAAACCCAAGGCTTCGGCCATTGGGCGCTCCTCTATAGAGAATCGTTTCCAAATAGTTCAGACCGTTATTGTTGATGATGTTGAAGCCGCATAGTAGTTCGATCTGCTTCCAGCGATGAACTCTCTCCTGTAACTCTGCCGTGACCTCGTTCAGAGCTGTTCTAGCATCCACGATACTCTTGTCAACTTCGTCGATTGATTTCCCATGTGTTGAAACAAAGGCGCCAACGAGGCTCGACCGCTTCTTTCTTAATTTTTCACACTGAACGACGTTGACGAATATATCATTACTTGTTATAGACGAATTACGGATAATAGCTTTTAAATGGAATTTCACACTCACAGCTTCTCGCGCTTGTTGCAACTGCTTCTCGGCAGAAATCTTTTTCTTAGTGTAGGCTTTGTTTTCTATCTCATGCGTTAACTGTAACCAATGTTGAAGACCGACAGGCGGAGACCAGCAGCGATCCTCGAGTTCACCTTCTGCTCTTTGAAGTTCCATTTTCAACATCTGCAACGAATCATTTAATCGTAAGAAAAAACTAATTTTAATTAGAATGAAAATCGTTTTTATTTACCTCTATTTCGGCTTTTAGTTGAGAAACCTCCAGATCGGAGTAAGAAGTATGTAATCCTAGGCTCTCATCTTGAAGCCGCTTCTCTAGGTTCTGTTTTTCGGTAGCTGCACTCTCCTGCTCCAACCTTGCCCTCTCCAATTCTTTCTGTAAATTAACAAAAACTCAAATGTCTTATCGACATCAAAGATGCAAACTGTTTTGCGCTATTACTAATATTCAAAAGATACAGTTAATAAATAATTAAAATTGATGACTAATTATTCGTACCTGCAAGTCCTCCAAGGCAAGCTCTGCCTTGTGGAGACTCTCCATATCCTTCATCATTCTAAGCAAATGTTTTTGCGAGTTCTTTTTCTGCTGATAAGCATACCAGCAGCCAATTAAAGCGCCGAAGAGAAGCGTTATCAGCACCAAATCTTTCAAACTGTGACCCGAGTCTGCAAAGGGTATCAAACGAATGAGGAAATCACTTCATCTGCGGATAAAGACTTTTTAGATATTTTGACCATCGCGGTACCTTTAGGAGGACCAAACAAAACCACGTCCATAGCTTTCAAGGCAATTTTCTGCTTGTGAATTGGGTCCTTAATTCCAAGTACGTTGCTCAAATAATGCATATTGTTTACTGCAAGTCTGAAAGACGTTTAATATAAGGATAGAAGATTATGTTAGGACTCAAATCTATATTTCTTCATATTATTCGTTGCTAAAATGGTACGAGTGTAAAAATTAATTTTAATACCTGGGCAGTGTTGCTCCAGTGATACGATGTTGTATAAAAGTCGGAACGTATTGCGGAAGCTCGACATTGCTCGTGAGCCATTCGGAAGTCTGCTCAATGGTCCAGTTATGAACCTAAGAATAATTTTCGTATAGTTATACGTTATAAATCTATAGAATTTTTTTATACTACTCTCGACTTCCTAAATACCTCCGAACGCAACCAAGCTTCCCAGAGTTCTCGAACGCTTATGTGCATATCATCATTATGGTGAAAGGCTCTTTGGCGTCGTTCATAACCAGCCTCGTATTGAAGTTCCTCCCTCAAGAACTAAAAATTGAGACTCATACTTAAAATCTGTCTATGGTATAAAATTCTTATGATTTTTTTTTTAAATATTACATCATCCGATTCCGAGAGGTCAACGTTTCCATTAGCATCATCATCCAATTGACTGTGCAGTGATTTTATTGCCTCCAGACCAAGACGATCATGAGAAGCCATCGTCAAACATGCCAAGTCATCATTGCATGTTTCAGTACCTATAGTGAATGTAAATTTAGCTTAATATAATTAATTGTAATAATGACACTTTTAATATATACAAAAAATAAATAATTATGAACAAAATACATACCTGATTCGTGAGCTACAGCCTGTGCCAGTCCATCGGTAAGGCTGCTGGAAAAGGCTGGAAGCTTTGGCGGCGGGGTACTGGACTGAAAGCTTGCACCAGAGTCCAGGGCCCCGCCGCTGGCTCGTACTCCACCACAGAAGAGGCAGAGTATGCGGAGTACAGCAATGAGTGTTATAGCAACCCTCATTTTACAGAATTCTATCTGCCTGCTATGCAGATATTGAAGAAGCTTCTATGGCAACACTTGTTCAGGTCTAGATGAGAAGCTTGAAGATGATGTCTTCGTAAATGTTCTTCAAGGTTGTTAGCAGGATATCAAGAGAGTAAGGTTACAGGTTAGAGATTTTACAAAATATCCCAGATGGAAAGATTCTAGAAGTGTCGGCGCCAGAAGATCCTGGAACACCAGGAGGCCGTCTTCTCCATCAAGACGACTTCGCGTTGAAACGTGGCGAGCTGAGTAGCTCACACACGAATTAAGTACACTGCTCAAGAAATCAAATGTTCTATCAAGGCCACCGTGAACCACCGTGAACACGGGCTACGACGACAGATCTGCTGGACGGGTGGATCTTTCATCTGAAAACCGTAGTATGCACAGCGTCCGCAATAAGCTTATTGGCAGCACCAAACTGAGTGTGCAATTTCAGCTATACCTTAGCAAAAGGGCTAAATTCTGCAAAATACGACTTCTTCTTGAAGTTAGCTGTCGATTGTTTAATTTTGTTTACATTTAATTCTTCAAGAAGGAGTCATATTCTGCAGTTTTATCCTGTCTTCTTGATACACATTTATGAAACCATTCATTGACTGGAAGATTTATGCGTCTACTATATATTTCACACTGCAACACAATGTAAGACTTATCATTTTCTAGTATTATTAAACTCTGATGTATTTATCTTAATCTTCAGTGAATATTCAAGTATCGCAACTTATTTTATTCTTATTTTTATCATATATTTATACAGGGAGCTTGACCATAATGCAGAAATTACGGTAAAGAATGATGAAACTGAAGGTCAGACTCTAAAACGAGAAGATCCACAAGTTCAGATAGATGTGAAAACTTCTGATTCGAAAAATTGTCAGGCAAAAATAGTCAGGCCCACAAAAAAAATGAGAATGGATTCTGGCGACTCAGGTCAACTTTATGATCGAAAGGGTTCGTTCAATTTTATGTCTGCTTTGTTTAAATTAATATAATAAGTAGCATCGTACTGATTTATCATTTTTTGCTTTAACTATTTCATTAACACATTTGTTGACATTTTATTTGCTGCTTCTGTACAGAGTCAAAGGATGATGAGAATGCAGAAGCTAAAATTGTTAGGTCCTTTAAAAGATCCTGTGAACTCTGGTCGATGGAGGACAAGAACACTTTCTTCAAGGCTTTAAATGAATTTGGCAAAGATTTTGATGCATTGCAAAGCTTTTTCCTTAGTCAAGGAAAGAAAAAGGGTCTGCCGGATAATATGATTAAAAACAAGGAGCAAATAAGGCACTTTTACTACAGAACCTGGCTTAAGATATCAAAGCATTTAAAGTTTTCTGAAGGTACATTTATTTTTTATTATTTGAAACTGCATTGTTACCTTAGAATATTAATAATGCACTCTGATACTTTGTATTTGACTTTACACATGAATTATTTTTAGACGTAAAAAAGGCATCGCAAGAACTTTATGGGTTAATAAATTATGGAGAATTGAGACGAAAATTGCCACGAATTCATGAAAAAGTACATCTCAAACTGAATGAGCTTGTTTACTGGGGTTCCACCCAAGTTAGGCTGCGTGGCAAGACTATGAGAATTAAGACACCAATTTGCAGAGCACTTAGAAAACTCAATCAACTTGAAGGTATCAATAGAAAACATAAAAATTATGCCATTGGGCTCAAATAAATTATTTGCTGTAGATTGGCAAGAGGAAATCAAACTACCTTCCAGAGTGACTATTGAACTGAGGCCAAGAACGAATTTGGCCTGGTGGGAAGTTCAGGCTGCAGCAATGAATCCTAGAGTCAGAACTCTTGTTCCTGTTCAAAGAAGACTTTCCAGCTTACTAACATTTCTACAGCAAAGATGGAAACCTGTGAAGTACAGGACTGTATCCTTTCTGATTGTAATATGTAACATATAATTGTCATCTGGATACCTCAATGTAAGGAAACCAAAAATCCTTATATAAAAAAACAGTGTGTAGTCTCTGAAAGTGAATTATCTGGTGACTCGAAGGATATCCGACTGTTGCGCGTTATTCCTCCGGAGTCCTGTAAGATCGCTTTGCCAACGGTGAACCTAGGCGAATATTTAACGAGTAATAGCGTCAGTTTAAACTCTTACGAGAAACGACTCTGTTTGAAAAGTTCACGTGAAGAATTACTTGGTTCCGTACAATATTTGAAGGGCGTTGGCAAGAAGGGAATCAAGAGATACAAAATGGACAAACGATTTCCAAATCGTGCCGAGGATGCATCCTCAACCCAACCAGACAACAATAGCGACTTGGAAGTTGCGGAAGGAATTGTATCGGAAAAGCCAACGGATATTACAAATTCTGATAGAAGTTTATCTGAACATTTGAGTGAACCCAACAGATTTCCAGGAAGAGAGACAGTGACCAGAATTCGACAAGGTTGGAACATCGAGGAAGCCAATACTATTACCGTGGGTGATCTCTTTCTAATGGTAAGTTACTTTGATTGTTTAGTACAGAGATTACAGTATTCTCTTCTGAATTGCGTGCTAAAAGTTTGATTTTCTTTTAATTTCAGTTTGGTAGGGACTCAAAAATAATTCTGGAATATTTGTGGGATTTACCAGTGCAAAGTCAAAGTCCTTCCATAGAAAAGACTAAGTCCATTGCTTCTACAAGAGATGATAGTCTATGTTTGGCTTTGCAGAAGTTATTGTCTATTGCCAAGCACAGTTATGGTACTAGTAAGGTAAAAAAATCGTGGCAACATACATATCTAAAACTATTGCAACGCAATTTCATTTTCTTCAGGTGTATGATAACACATCAGGAAGTAATGAGACCGTCATATCTTCAAGGATTCCATCGACCAAAGAATCCACATTTCGACGACCTTTAATTCCGCAGGCTTATCACAAACTCGGAACACCGGATGCTTTCAAAACTCAACTTGACGTAAGTCCCGATAGCTATTTATCAAATAAACCGTTTGCTGCTTGTACTGATTTTGCACTTATGAATGCTCTTTGTTTTTAGAAATTCAAAAATCGATTTTGCAAAAGGGGTAGAACGGTGCGTCAAAGAAATTTGGTAGTACAACGAGTACTGCCTTTGGTCTCTGGTACATCGTCGACAAACTCGTCGTCAGCGAGTTTACTGCAGCAAGGAGTATCCTCTCCAGTTGGGGAAACTACACCAGAAAGCGAAACTCCAGATGAGGTGGTTGATAAGGCAGAAATGCCTGCAGAGGATTCTCAAGATAAAAACTTTCTTGGCGTATTGGCGGCCGAAGGGCGGGCACAGCCATCGAATTCAATAATTACAAGCGCCACTCAAATACTGAAGGAAGGCGAACATCAGTGGCTCAACAGCGAGGTTATTTTTATTCAAGCGTTCTTCTCGTAAATTAGTATGTTTTTTACTCGTATTTCCTTCTACATAACATTACTCTGCGTTTATAACAGGTCGCGGATTTCTCGCTAAGCAGTTTTCTCGGACAACTCGAATCTCCAGTGAAGTCGCATCGTGGGCAACTAGGAAGTCAACCTGTGGAAGACGTTCGACCATCGTCAGATGTAATTTCACACTATTACTCAACAATTTTCAAAAACCCGAATATAACATCGGATTTCTAGATTCGCAATAAACGTCTTGACCGTTTATTTGTTAATAAAAGTGTAAATGCGTCATGACATTTCAGGTTGTCACTCAAATGCAATGCCTAATGGGAGAAAACAGCGTGGATTACATGGCGAAATTTGCTAATTTAGCATCACAAATCGCATCCGACGACCAAAAGAAATGAAAACCGAAATCCGCATACAGTGAAGTCAAATAGGAAGCACAACGAATGTACGTGTTCTACCTAGTTTCATTGAATTTATTGATATTATTTCCCGGCCACAACATGATGCGAATTTTAATTTCTGCCGATATTCACGAGCATCGAGTTTAACTAGTTAAAAGTACTTCCACCACGTATCGTAAAAAATTAATACAATTCGAAAAGAAGAAAAACAAGACTGATTGAAAGTTGATTTCTTTGAGGCAAGATAATAAAAAGAATACAACATTAATTTATAGTTAGTGCGCATCAATAGTTCTCTTAGTTTTTAAACTAATAAAAGGAAAACGAGTCTCGTGCGTGGTGTATTGCGAAAGCAACTTATGAATGATTCATATCTTGGTTTGTTTGTGGTTCTCCGTATACCTATATAAGATAGTCGTCCGAGCACGTGACCCTCGTCCAAGAGCCAATCAGAAAGACGTGTAGTCATCGCCTGCGACTTTTTCCTGGTTCACGAATTAAAGGGCATTATGTGGATTTTTCATCATCGTTTAGCGAAGAACCGTGAGCAATTATGCAAGTCTCTATAGTTGAAAACTTTATCGAAAGAAAAACACTGGCTACTCAATTGATAACTTTGCTTTATTGCTTTCCAGACAGCATTACAATCGCAATCGTATTATTATGCTAATCCAGCAGGACAGACTAGTTTGAGAAATTTCTTATAATCCTGCGGAAGTTGGAAATTAATTGAATCCGAATCAGACTGCAAGGATTTAGAAACGGCTACGTCTCTTCAAAGATCTGTTATCATCGTAAATGGCATTCCGCAGGTAGTATGTTTTTCCTCGAGGATCTTACGAAACGCGAGTTTTGTTGCGACTGCGAATATATTCCAGGAAAACACAAAGAAAAATAGGAGTAATATCATACGACGTAATTGCCATTACTGAAACATGATTGAAATAGCGTTGATATTGAACAAAAGAAAAGATATTTATACAATTTGCCATTAGTTTATTTGCATTTATTTTTAATTAAAACACCATCTATGCATGACACACATGATACAATATTTTACCTTCAAAATTACTATAGTCATATGTCAAAAGTCATCGTTGAAATTTAGCATACTGGTTTAATTTTATTTCTTTTTTTTTTTAATTTTGGAAAAGGGCCGTCTTGATTCTAGATTGAGCAAGTCCCCTTCATTAGCCCGTAACTCAACGATTTCGTAGAATTGTCTGCGTCCCTGATTGCATCGTGACACGCTAAAAATAAATGTAGTTGCGTCAGAAAGAATTCGCAAAAGTGGGGATCTTGAGGAACGATTGGCCGAGAACGAGAGCGGGAAATCCCGGTGCGAAACCGGCAGGCTCCTCAGGCACTTGCAGCGCGATTCTCACAATCAGTTCCATCATAGCTGTGTGCGCGGTTAAGAATTGCTTTGCAAATCAAAGACGTTGCACTAACAATAAGTTTATGTTTGTGGGTTCCGCATTACTGCAAGACAAAACGTATATAGACGTAAAAATAAAAAGATTAATCCTCAAGTTTCTTCGTAACTTTGATTAGTAAAAAAGAGTGAATTTTAATATTGTCCGGTTGTGTAAAAAAGTTCTCTATCGAACGACAAAGAATGACATGTATTATGAATAATTTGGTAAACTACCAGACTCATTACTGGATAGAAGTAGGTTTTTTGTCAATGCTTTAATTGTCCGTTGTCATAAGTTTCACTTTTGATTTTAAACAATTTTCATATTATGGATTGTAATGTATTTCTATGTCAACAGAATGATTCCCTGACAATGTACAACGAGGAAAATGATATCGACTCGGAGAAAAAAATCTACGACATGGACACTGGGGCGAATGTGCAGCAACACAATTTTTTTCTTGGTAAGTAAAGGAATTATTAAATAATTTGAATTAATTTATTTATTGATCTTCTTTGATTGGTTTCTCATCTCAGCCGATAAAGACGATATGTCTAACGATGGTGTAGCCTGGTCGGAGAAATCGGTAAAACATTGGAGTCGAAGAGACAGTGCAGGGTGGCTGTTAAATAGTTCGAAACGTCTGGGACAACCTTATCGCTCCATTTCGGATTCCTTATGTGTTCCTGGACAGGATTTAATTTCAATGACGAAGGATGACTTCAAACTGTACGATGAGGTCTACGGCGAGAGGCTCTATGATATTTTGCACTCAGAACACTTATCCGAATTTCGTAAGAATCATAGCATCCGTAGATATAAATCGTTTGCAACTATCTTTCTTATCTTTTACATTTGTTTTAGTAGACATACCCTGTGAGGATAAATTTTCTCGAACGAATAATCTATCTGGTCAGTTGAGGTTTAATTAAAAAATAAAAATTTATCAAAGCAATATTAATATCGTAGTAACGAATCCTTTTTGATATTGCAGATGTTGAGTCGGATAGCAGTGATAAAGTACGTCCAAAACGATCACCGGGAAGACCTCGCGTGTCAAAGTGCAATAAGACATGTAAGTATTGGATATTCGAATTGTAGCGATATTTTCCAATACATTTAAATTGCATTGATTGATTTCACAGCAAATACTTACGGAAAATTATGGCAGTTCATTGTGCAACTTTTGCATAATGAAGATACGTGTCCGAAACTCATACGGTGGGAGGATTATTCACAGGCTCAATTTCGTTTCATGCGCAATGACGAAGTAGCTAAGAAATGGGGAGCGAGAAAAGGAAATACAAAGATGACGTACGAAAAGCTCAGTAGAGCCATGAGGTAGTTGTTTTTACGAGAATTTGTCCTCTTTGTGTATTTGTATTCTAATTCACACATTTTATTGTCACTTTTCCTGTAGGTATTACTACAAGAGCGAAATTTTTAAGCCAGTTCATGGACGACGATTAGTGTATCAATTCGGGCGAAATGCGGTTGGCTGGCAAACGGACAATCCGAATTTTTTAATCAAAAAAGATAAAACACGCTAAATCATTATGAAAATAATTAGCGATTTGACGACTCAAGAGAATTCAGAAATCAGCTTGCTATCTCTAAGTTTCAGAGAGGGAAGTGGGACAGACATATTTCCACTGCTGATTAGTATTACATTAAGTTTTATCATCGTTTATATCATAAGTGATCAAATGCAAGAAAAATGAAAAAATAAAAGAACTCGTCACATCAATAAAAAAGATGTTTATGAGGTGATCAAAAAGAGGAAGTAATCGAGTCTTAAACCATTTATTGTGTAACTCTTTCAATGGATTAGTTTTAGATATAATCAATATTGATTATGTTATATAATTATACCATCAATATTCTTGTAACTCGTAACAGTAATTATCAATTAATTTTATCACAGAACCGCACAGAATAACCGCGACCGTAGAAGCTTCGATTGACACGTGTAACTAGTAGTGGCTGGATCGAGAAAAAAATCTAGAGAAATGTACAAGACGTACAGGGTATTCGAATGGTCAAGGAAGAGAAATACGAGATCTATAGCGAGATCCTTCGTTTTGAGATATTGAACGAGATAAACTTAAAATGTAAATACAGAATGTTAAATGAATTATTCGCGTAACTCTAACGGGTTTCGAATGGTTCGAAGCCGAGGCAATGATTTTATAATTACTATGATTATTTCAAGAATGGTATTTCCTACATTCCGCTCATCGTTGTATAATTTTTGCATCACTCTGTATACAGGGCGAACAAACGACAATGCCGATTCTTGTGCGCTATTATGCCTTGGGGACTATTTATTAAGAGACTAAGTTATTAATATTTAAAAGTAATCATTATCGATAACGATAACTTTATCAAACGATTTATTCTTGATTTCATGTTTTCCCTAGTCTTTCGTTTCTTGTTCTTATCTATTATTTTTTTTTTATTTTACGTAACCATGAAATCGCAATCATAGGTCCGTTGTGTAAATATTAATTGTAATAAAGGTCCTATGGGCATTGTTAATTTTATATCGTTCAAATAGTATTGGCACATACGATTTTACTTCTTGTTTCCTCTTTCTTGATTCTTTTTATGTCCGTTTTTAGTCCAAATGGTAAACCTGACTAAAATTCTTTATGTGAATTGTCACTACGAGGCCACGAATATCCTTTATATTTCTTCGGCAAATCAATTTGCCACTAACCACTTCCCCTGAAAGTAAAAAAAAGTTAAAGCTGCATTCACAACATAATGGAATTGAAGATAATTTTACAATGTGGGTCCAATAATTTGATCAGCTTTTAAGCAAAATGTATCTTTTATAAAGGATAATCGATAATTATGAAACTACGAACCTTCGGTAATGCTGATCGGTTCGCTCAAAGAGAAAACAGTCTGTTTCCAATGTGTCGGCGTAGATTGTGGTCCTGTGCTGAAGCTTATTGGATTATCTAAATCAAAAAAGACATCGAAGTATCCAATAATTGCTGTCAACGAACCAGTCCTATGAACAGTGAGATCAAAATTGACGGAGAAATTTACGCAATCCGTTTGAACTGTGTAAAGGTCAAAGGATTTTATCTCAGCCACACTGGTAACGAGATCCTGTGGGTTGCAGATTTCAATGCTCGGCTCTCGCACAACCTCTGGTTTCATGCAACTCATTTTAAAGCCATAGACATTCGACCAATAATCCACTAGATCAATGTATCTCTCTAAATAACAACGAGGAAGAATTAATTAAATATACTAGATATTTTTATAACGACACATAAATATAATTAAATATTATGAAGTGGTAATTACTTGTGTCACCTGATCCGACAATACTGATTGCACATCGATTGGGAAGTAACTTCCCTCCAGGTCGTAAGTAATTGTCTCTGGCGTAAATAACAGTATCAAGCATTCCTTCAAATAATAGGAAATATCCCATCCACTCTGAAACGATTGCGTCAACTTTCTCTATATCTAGCTCAATGTCTTCGAGTCTGCCTTTTTTTAGGGTTATCACGTCTGTTAGATGATTCTCCCTAATAAAAATGTTGTAAATTATAATACAATTCTCCAAAGTAATTTGTGTTTACAAACTTTATGCACTTACCTTACAATATCCATTGCATGATAGATCACATCTGATTGATCTACACTGATCACTTGTCGACATCCTGATTTTGCAGCAAACATTGACAGGATTCCTGTACCACAGCCAACATCAAGCATCACACAATTTGAAAACATGTGGGAATTAGTTAAAAGCGCATCTCGATAGCTTTCTGTTCTCACTTTATCCTGAAATATAAGAGGTTGATGTTTTACAGAATATAGATAATTTATATTTCACTAGTTAAACCAGCCGTATTCTGTACCGTAAGCATTTCGTGATGAATTGCAAAATGACTGTAAGTGCTAAAATATCCTTCGTCAACGTCTAAACTGACGTTCCTTACACAACGATTCTCTAATGGTTGAGAATCGTCATCCAGAACAAGATGCTGAGCTTTTTCTATCATTTCGTCAATTTGCTGCAAACAGAATTGTGCAAAATGAATAACTGTCAATCTCTATGTTTTTCCTGTTATATGAAAGGAATAATACCTGCTTAGCCAATAAGCAAGCTAATTCTCTCTGTTCCAATTGAGCTTTGAGTGACTGAATAGTCCTTTGTAATTCTGCAAAATGTACTTCAGAAAGTGTAACACAGCCATTCTCTGAATTCACTGGATACGCTGCAGGTTTAGGGGCTTCATCTTCAAAATCCTCAATGTCTGTTATTAAAAATATTAATAAATAATGGTACAGTTGTTCATTAAGAAAATTAAATTACCTAGCATTAACCAGCCATCATCCTGTAATACTGGTGTTAGATATTCGTCACTATCCCATGTTTTAATTCCAAGTGCTTTTAATTCCTCAGCAGAAACATGGTTCTTCCTAATGAAGTTAACCAATTTGATATATGAATAAATGTCCAATGTATGTCTGGTTTTGAAGGCAATCAAATTAAAATTATGCACTGTTTCCAAGTGGCTTAAAGATTCTGATGAATTGGTAAGTTCTTTCTCACAGAAAAGGCAAAGTATACGTTTAGAAGTATCTTCAACTTCATCCCAATCGTCACCACTATCTGAATCACTGACAGCATCCATTTCTAAGTCTGGTACTGAAAGAAAATAATCTATGTACCACAGTAATCAAAGTAATATAAATCATCTATAAAATCGTTAGGGAATCGTAAAATCTCACATATATGTGTATATAATTTTATTATTCAATTCTGAAACTGCTGTATTGGTGGACATACAGGATGGTAAGTCAATAACACATAATAATCTGCATAATTAATTTATATTACTATGAACAAATACAATTATTCGAAAAAGTTGACAGTCAATTTACCTTTGTCAGTCATTGTACGAATTTTTAAATATTCACTTTATTAAATGGTCCTATTTAGAAAACAAGTTTAGGGTTAGATATCTCTGGCGTTCTGTATCCTATCTGGCGCACGTGTATCGCTTTGATGTGGCCTCGCCATGATTTATACTATGAACAAGACGAAAGTAATATTAACTAATTATTTAATGAATATTCCGATAATTAATAAACACTTTAATATTATTAATGCCTCGTCATATTTTCGAAAATTTTGAATAATTACACGCTCGTCACAGACCTAAAACTCAAAAATAATATAATTATAAAAGCAGCCCTATAGACCCTAGAGAAACTACGAGCAGCGTCACAGGGTGGTCATTAAACCAACCTGGACCAGCCCGGATATCGACTGAGAGGTAGCCTGGTGTCGAGCCGCGCGGTAAATCTGCCAGAACTGGAATTTTGAAAACTTACTTTTCTGAAATGCAATATTATGTATGTGTACAAGTGCACAATAAACTTTAACTATTCTTTACAAATTACGGCTTTTGTCTATTTCATTAAATGTTCAGTTAAGTTAATGTACAATTAATACTCTGTACGGAACACGTGTTAATTATTCAGAAACAACGCGCTCGTGGTTTCAATGTTATTGAATGATATCCAACCAGAGTAGGTATTTATGAGAATGTAAAAGTACATCATAAGTGTAAAAGAACAAAGACATTTGTAAGAATAGTACCATCTTCTAATATAAAAGGTTTGTACAATTTAAATATAATAAAGTGCAAGTTTGATCATCTATTATTTTGACAATAATCATTTATCCATTATTTGATTCGTATAAACGAATGCAAATATTCCAATGCAGATGTATACAATAATATCTTTGTGTAGAATATCTATTTTTTTGTTCTATCCAGGTCAAGAAAAATGTTTCCTTTGGAAATATGGGAATTTATTTTGCAATATTGCGATCCCATAGATTTGATAAAATACCGTCGAGTGTGTAAAAGCTGGAATTATTTAATATCGCGGTTATTACAGGTAAATATTAGAATTGCAACAAAAGGCGATGAAGGGCTTTTTATTGTTATTACGTAAATTACTCTTTGCAGACTCCTGGGATTTGGTTCAATAAGTGTTACAAAGAAATTCCATTTCATATATGGCAAACAATATTAGAAAAAATCTATCCCGATAGAATATTCAAGAATATGACATATCCCAGTATAGCATCTGATGTTTTGTACGCGGAATGCAACTTCTGGGATAGGACTACTGGACCAATTCCTAGAAACTGGAAAGAAGATGAATTGTTAATTGATTATCAAGTTATAGCCAATGTCGTACGTTCCTGGTACAGTTGGCGTAGGATCGAATGTATTATACCACATGTCCATAAGCTCAGAGTTCCATGGACAAAGATACCATCCAGAAAGATAACATGTTTGGCTTGTACAGGTACTTTGTGCTTTCTAAGTAAAAGATATCAAAAGGAATACTATATGAACTCTTTTTAGGTTCAATATTAGCTATTGGTACCTCTGAAAGTGAAATTTGTATACATGACTTTGTACATGCAGCAGGGCCACCTATTGTATTAATAAATCCTACAGGACCACTTCGTGACATTAAAATCTTAATGCGTGGTGTGTTTGAATGCACTTGCTAATAACCTGAGATCTACTTTCTTTCTCTTCAGAATATTTACCAATAATTCATTGTTGCTTTTATTTCTAGAAAATATTCCTCAGCTCTTGACCAGGTCAAACAATGATGACGTCGCCCTTTTAAACCTTGAAGAGTCAAATGCATATAGAAAACTTAAGGGTACTATAATGAGGTAACTCTTGAACAATTATTATCTAATATTCTTGGTTTTCCACAGATACTATAATTTTCATACTGTTTAAATCGTTATTTGTAGCACTTTTTATGGTAGATACAGTGTCTGCAATGGTAAATATATTTATTACGAGCATGCAGACGGCAGCACGAACTATGAGAGTATTCTTCTTCCATATGATGATCAGTTTGTTGCCATGGAAATAGACATGCTGAAGGTACTGATGCTATAAAGAATATAATTTATAATTAAATATACCTCTTTCTTTGCTGCAGCTAACGGTTTTATCAGCTAAAGGCAGTATTTACTTACTAAAGAATAATTTATGCTTGTCAACATATGTACGGCCGCCCCAAGAGAAAATTCGGAATTATTTCATGTTCAAGAGCAACGTGATAATATGCATAACATGTATGTTCCACTTATTTGCTTGGAATGTGCATTACCTCCTAGTAACTAGAATTTCAAGATTATTTAATCCTGTCTAGTCAGTGGATATCTTGGCATCTCCGTGAATTCGAAGCCCTGGACACTGTTTAACGTTTTTCGCTGCCTTGGTGGACAGCCGACGGCAGTACACTTTTACTCCCAACTACTCATACTTGGTTTAGATACAGGTTTTTGTTTTTTATTTTAAACCAATGGAAAATCATGCTTGATTTCTTTTTCATTGTTTTTCAATTTTCTTTATTATTTCCTTTTTGATTGATTCTTTTAAAGGTGAAGTACATCTGTATAAGGTACACACCCCAAAAGATTTGGAGTTCATGAATTTTGACATTCCAAGCAGTCATAAATTGGTTCTCGATACCGAAGCTATTATTTCCGTGGATGTAATGGATGTTGCACATAATCATGTCATATTCGCTGCGACCAGTCAATCCACGTACTTCATTCAGTTTAAATAAATTTCACAGACCACTTCAATGAATTAAGGTTTCTACATCAAAAAGCTCATTTAAACTAGTTTCGTTTTAACTTATCAAATCATTTAACCTTGTTAGCTTATTCCTTTATGTATTTAATTAATTGTTCAAGCAATTAGTTGATTTGTATTTGTAATTAATATAGACTCACTAATTGTCAAAGCTTAAATGAAATTTATAAAATAAAACCAGGATGCAAAAGATGGAAGATCTTTATTAACTCACTTATAATTTCTAGCAGTTCCGGTTCCATAAGTGCGATCCCAATCCACGTAGACTTGCAGGTCGTTTCTCGACACACTGGCACCCACGCATTGCAAAGCATCCTTGAAGTCTTCAGTAGTAAGTGCTCTGACTTCCTCCATCCTGATGTTTTCCAGCTTTTCAAAGGGAATACTCCTGACAGGTCCCATGCTAGCCTCTTTGCATAGATTACTCATATCTGCACCAGAGTAACCATCTGTTCCTTGTGCGACTTCCTTGATGTCAGCGTCGGAGAGCTCATGCTTCTCAGAAGCTAAAAGATTCCTAACTATTTGCTCTCTAGCATCAAACTCTGGAAGTGGAACATACAATCTTTTAACCAGTCGTCTTCGGGCGGCTTCATCAAGTTCTTGAGGTCTATTTGTTGCACCCACTACTAGAATTCTTTCTTCATCACCTGTGGCTGCACCATCCAATTGAACCAGGAACTCCGTCTTGATGCGGCGCGAGCTTTCGTGCTCACTTTCACTTCTCTGACTTAACAGAGAATCTATTTCATCTATAAACACTACAGCTGGCTGATGAACTCTCGCCACGGCGAAGAGGGCCCTTACCATTTTTTCACCTTCACCGACCCACTTTGACGTCAGGGATGAAGCAGAGATAGAAAAGAAGGTTGATTTGCTTTGGGATGCTATGCACTTGCCAATGAGGGTTTTTCCTGTTCCTGGTGGGCCGAATAATAGAATTCCTCGTGGTGGCCTTCGTAGTCCCGTGAAGATGTCCGGACGCAGCATTGGAAATATGATAATTTCCTTAATTACTTTTTTAGCGAATTCCAGACCAGCTATGTCATCCCAGGATATCAACGTTCCGCGGTCCATTATCTCGTTCTCTATTAGCTCAATCATTTTAGGTTCAATACCTCGAAGACGTTCGTCGACCGGTTCTTGTGAATCTACGGAGTCCACCGTTTGCTGCTGCTGCTGTTGACTTTTTATAGGACAAGTAAATTTTGAGTTTACAGATCCTTTACCACCCAGGCTCTTTTTCTGAGGAACGTTTTTATTTTTTACTTGTAAACTCAGCTCGGTTCGAGCTGTTCGGAAATTTTGCACTTTTTGTAAAGATTCACAAGTTTCTTGAAGATGAGCATTGTTTATGGAATCTTCTTCCAACTCATCAGTATTTTCTGGATGTCTAAAGCGACCTGGGAATCTGTGATACTTTTGTTTTAATGCAGTATTTGAGAAGTTATCTTGAGAAGCTTTTTTATTGTAAGATTTGGATGGTCCTGGATATTGAAAATGTCTTTTATTAAAAAACGGGTTTTGTGCAAGCTCTGTTGAGTTTGGATTACTTCTAGTGAATGCTGAACGATCTAATAAAACAGGATTGGTTCTATTTCCATCTGAACGAATAGATATCTTTAAATCTTTTTCTTTTTCCTTGGTGAATTTGGTATTGTTATCAAAACCACTTCTGCTATGCGAATCTGTACTAAAATCTATCTTTCCTTTAATCTTCCTATGACGTTCAATACTGTTCCCATTTTTCCAAAGATCAACTATAGTCTTAGTGTGTTTATCAGAAAATTCTAAATTTTTACAAGGCTTTAGTTTATTTATTTGACATTTCAGGGGCTTCAAAAATTGAAGTGCTGTTTTAGAATCATGTAAACTGGATTTCCACTTCTTTGGATCATTATTAGTTTTGAGACTAGGTTCTATCAATTGTCTCCAATAGTTATTTATTTCAGTTTTTCTTTCTATTTGATCTTGATAGTTTTGTAAACTCTTTTGAAGCAAAAGTGCTGCAGTATCTTCAGAATCTCTGTAAAGAAGTTCAATAAACTAATTGAGATGGGATACTGACATTCTAAAACTACTAAACTTAAGAAAATTAATAGAAGTATTAATTATTTAATTTGACACAACAAAAAGAATAATGATAATGACATTCAAAATATATGTAACATGCGTGCAGTAGAAGAAAAAACTTAACCTGTATAGGGATACAATTCCATAAAAGATGCTTACAGATTTTTTGCTGTTAAGTATTTTATCGCTAAACAACGTCGTTCAATATCGATAGATTCTATGTAACTGTTGCTTTCGTTAGCAAATTTTACTGTATGAAATGCAGCCAAGTAATCATCTTTCAAAGATGATTTCTTTGACTTGATAGATTCTTTATCCATAGTCTGGCACCATCTGCCACTTATGTACTTTCTTTTACGTGAATCTATAACGGATGGATTTGAATTTGGAAGGTAAGGAATGGACGATGTAATGAATTCCAGAATAGATTACATTTAAAGGTAGAAAATATTTATTGGTCCCATTAACAAAGACGATTCTACATAGCCATAAATGTATCAATGATTCCAGTACATGCCATGTACAAACAAAAATATATATATATGTATATACAGGGTGTCCCAAAATTACCTGACCAACGGGGTATGGCGGTGTTCGGAAGACACCACTGATCACGAAAATGACCTTCCTTTTGTCCGGAAGGTCATAGTTTTTAAATGGGAGCAGGTCAAAGTTGACCAATCAGAGGAAGGCGTCAAGAGAAACGTAGGCACCTGCGAACTCTGAGTTTTCTTCCCTCGCTTTTGTTTCTCGGTGGCTTCGGGCAGGATAACGTCAGCCGAAGACATGCCTATTGGAAACAAGAAACAAGCTACCGAGATGAACTTCGCCATACCCCGTTGGTCAGGTAATTTTGGGACACCCTGTATATAAATGGTTTGTTAACAGAATATGGAATGTAAATATAATTCCTAAAAAAATTCAGAAGAATGAATTTTAGTGACACTTTTTTGTGCGTTATTTTCTAAATTTCGGAACACCATAGGAAAGCATTATCAAATATTCTCTGCCATGGTGAATCCTCAGACATTTCCCAAGAAGCTGGAGCCCAGGGCCATTGCCACATTCTGGTACAACGTTCAGGATGTGGCATCATAGCTAAATGACGACCATCCTTTGAGCAAACTCCAGCAATTCCCTCTAAAAATGCATTAATTTTTAATATTGATTAATAAATATAGAACAATTCTTAATAAACACATAAATCCACATATAATTTCACTTACCAATGCTTCCATTAGGATTCATGGGATACTTCTGTGTTGGTAAACCCATATCATCCACATATCGAATCGCTAAGCAATTTTGTCTTCTGAGACTGTCCAAAATTAATTGATTTCGGAATGTGAATCGACCCTCACCATGTGCAATCCAAACGCCCAAGATACTTCCTTCCAATCCTTGCAGCATTATGGATGGAGAATTTTCTATTCTTACAGTAGACCAGCGACACTCATACCTTCCTGAATCATTATGATCCAGTACAATGTTGGGTTCGTCATTCTTGCCTGTAATATATTTTTTATATGTATTTAACTACTGTAATGAATCAGTAAGTTTTCTTAATATTTCAACGACGAATTACCGTCGGCATTTTTTCCGACCCAGCCAAGCAAACTCATCAGTTGACATCCATTGCAAACACCAAGACTAAATGTGTCTTTGCGTTCTACGAAAGCATTAAGTTGCTTCCTTAATGAAGGATGAAATCGTAAACTTGCTGCCCAACCTTTGGCAGAGCCCAGAACATCTACGATTAAGAAAGGATAATGTTATGAATTATTTTACGTTTTTTCTCTTTTTTATTTTTACTGGCTGCAAAGAATATAGGCTCACCGGCATAACTGAAACCACCCGGGAAGATAACGCCCTTGAACCTATCTAAAGTAATACTTTCTTTTAGAAGATCTTGTACAGTAACATCCCATACTTCAAATCCAGCATGGACCAAGGCAGCTGCCATTTCGCGATCTCCATTGATTCCTTCTTCGCGAATAACAGCTACGCTAATTTTTCCTTGAACCGGAAGAATTGAAACAATCAATTTTATTGTAAATAAGATTAGGTATTATTTTTGTGTAGTTTTGATATATGAAACAAATACCTGGCAAATCATTTCTTGGAATGGATGGTCTTCTCGATGGGTCAAAACTTAATTTGTAAGCTGGTGCAGTTCTATTTTTTAATCCATAATATTCTTCTTCGGCGTATCTAACATTAGTTTGACGTTTTTCCAATTGGAAACTAGTTTCCTCCCAAATTTTCATGTACGACAAGACCGTGGAGTTCAGCACGGCTTTGTTATTTACAGAAATATTTATCTATAAAGATTAGAAATACCATAATGGTGAGAGAATAATCACTACATTTAGCATGTCGTTTTCTTATTACCGTCGAGTTCAAACCAAATCCAACTGATTTTCCGATCGGATAAATTGGAGCATTGAAACGCTTAAATGTTTCCAGAACATAATTTTCGTGTTTCGGATCGACTTCCAGGACCCAACCCACCTCCTCATTAAAGAGTACACTAATAGGATCAGCCTGTTTATGAGAAATATTAATATCTATTCCAGATATTCCGGCAAAGCTCATTTCCAGAAGACACGTGATCAGGCCACCATCACTTATGTCGTGCCCCGCAGATATTTTATTTTCTGTTAAAAGATGATTATTAAATTATATATTACTTTGATTATGTATTACAGAATATAGTGGAAATACCTTTAATAAGATGTTGAGTGGCATTAAATGCATTTATTATCGTTTGAGTATTTTCTACATCAGGTGAATTGTTTCCCAATTGTTTGTATACTTGAGCTAAGGCTGTTCCTCCGATACGGCTTTTACCATTTGATAAGTCGACAAATAGAATCTTTCCTTCTCCTCCAATAGAAGGTTCCTTGAAATCGGGTGTGACCACCTAAACAATTTTGATGTGATAAACTCTTTAAAATTATTGACTGTAGTCAAATAATGAAATACTACCTGACGAATGTCTGGACAAGGAGCATAAGATGATACGACTAGAGTTCCCGGAGCTTTTACAATATCCTTCCCAATCCTTGCTGCCATACTGAGAGAATCCTTTCCTCCGTCAATGGCAATTCCAAATTCCTTCATTATATTGCACATTGCTGTGCATGCATCATAAATTGCTGCACCTTCTCCAGGAAGTTTGGCCGCCCACATCCAATTGCCACTGCATTTGACATCCTACAATTTTACAATAGTATATATGTGATGCAGTTTTAACATTTTCATTGATGTATGAATGTTCTATTAATACCTTGAGATTCGTAATTAGCGCAAAAACGAGATTCGATAATGATTCAGCCACTGTCATCCTGGCACCAGCTTCCGGATTAATCAAACCTTTTATTGGCTGCTCTCCAATAGACGTAGCGATGCCAACCTGCGATGAAGTTTTTAATCTTAAGTAAATTTCTTGTGAACACCCACCCTGCTACCTTTTTATTTTATGTCTTAATTATATTACCGTGGAAAAGTGTGAAATTGCAGTGACTGCTACATCCGCTAATGGAGTATGCAATGGTCCTACACATTGCTGCTGCGCTACCAATCCTGTTACGCAACGATCAACTTTGCTAGTGAGATATCTCTTGCTAGCAACAGCAGGTAGCCTAAGAACTCTATCAAGAGCAGATTCGACTGTCAAACCTTTTGGCAGCTCAATGGTCGCCAAGTTAAGTTTTCCTCTGGTCAATGAAAAGGTCTGAAAACAATATCCACAAATGATTTGATATTTAACATGGCTCTATGAGTTAAACCAAACAAGATAAATTTCATTTTTTACCTTTCTTGGCATCTTTCCTAAAACTAACTCCAAATCAAGATCTACAGGATGTCGAATATTTGATGTAGATTTATTATCCAGGTATTTAATAGGATTACAATCCTCTTCTTCTGAAAGCACTATTTTCCCTGATCCTGTCACAGTTCCTACGAAATTAATTGGACAACGTTCTCTAGCTGCTATTTTTCGAAGAAGTTCACTATCCTTTGGACGACAAAGTATTGCGTCGTTTTCTTGATATTCCGCACCCCATAATTCAAGTGTACTAATACTCGGGTCGCCTAATTCGAACTTTCTTGTAAAAATCACAGCCCCCGCCGGCTCCACCAATTCCTTCAACACATTACCTGAAATAATAACCGCTTATTTTTGTAAAGTTTGTAACTATAATTATAAATGTAATTGGATATTTTTGGTTTCATTAAAAGTTACCGTTTCCACCAGCTCCTTGGTCATGAATACTCAAAATTGGATTTTGATCACCCATTTCCATACAAGCGCGAACCAGACGATTTAATTTCTGCTCCATTTCCGCATCGCCTCGTTGAACTGCTCCGAAATCCAATTCAGCCTTATTGTCACCTTGAACCTGTTGGCCAATAAAGATGAGAGAATTAAACTTCCTAGTGAATAATTAAGATAAGAAAAAAGACAAATTATATTACCTCAACAGAACTGGCTGAACCACCTCCAACGCCAATTCTATAAATAGGTCCACCGATTTTTATGACTTCCATCCCTTGAATAATTGTAGAAACGTTCGAATAAATATGTTGCATCCTATTAAGTATGAGAAGGTTTCAAGAGGATCATTACCCTTTTCAGCTGGTAACTTTTCCGTCATATTGGAGTCCATTGACCCCAGTCCGCCACTGAACATTATCGGCTTGATCCATTCCCTTCTCTCACCGGTGGAATCAATTAAACCGTAAGTCCTAGCAAATCCCGAAATAAGCGGCTCCCCAAATTTATTGCCATAATCCGAAGCTCCATTGCTAGCCTCTACGATGATTTCTAAAGGCGACGCGAAATTTCCAGGATATGGAAGATCCGTCTCTTCCCAAGGCAGATCGTATCCTATAGAAATCAATTAATAAATCAGAAATGGCCCATGAGATGACAATTGCGCCTCTAATTTACCTGGAATATGGAGATTTCCAACTGAGTATCCAGCAGTTCCTGCAATATAATATCCTCCTCTACCAACTCCTTGAATATCTCTCAGTCTTCCGCCAGTTCCAGTTGTTGCACCACTAAACCAATAAATATTTAGTTATTATTTACATACATCGGAGGAATTTATTGCATTAAATTTTTCAACCTAAAGGGTGCTACTCCAGTTGGAAAATTGTGTGTCTCAGCCGTGAAGATCAAGTGCTGATCCAAGTTGGAAATTCGAATTGGACTGGGTTCGCTTGTGTTATCAGGTCGAAGTGCAAAAATTTTAAAACCACGGATGGCCGAACTGTTATCGCTGAACTTAATAACATTATTCTGATTAGAAGTACATTGTGTATCAATGATCATATCGATAAGGGATGCTTCTTTTTCTTCTCCATCAATCACCATTCGACCCTTAAAGAACCAGTGTCTACTGTGTTCACTGTTGGATTGTGCGAGATCAAAACATTCTACGCTGGTCGGATTTCGCTTCAACTTATTGCGAAATAGATCTGTATAAAAGTCTAAGTCCCAATTGTCCAACGCGAGGCCTGAAAGTATGTGTAATTACATAGTAATTGCATTTTAACTATTAATAACAATTAGTTGGTCATTAAATGAACTCACCTAATTCCGAATTAACATCTTCTAAAGCTTTCCTTCCATTATTCAAAATATCTACTTCAAACCACTTTTCTGGTCGGAAACCATGATCAAAAGTTTGTATGGGCTCAATGTATCTGCACTGGGTCATTTTATCATGCAAAACGTCCACAATCTAAGAAAGTAACAGACAATTGATTGTAGATATGTACTTTTGCTTCAAAATACTTTTTTTGTGAGAAATATACTTACAGATTTTTCAAGTGAGGCAGTGAACGTACCATTTAATTGAATCAGATACCTGGTAGATACTTCAACTCTTTTTACTTTACCCAATTCAACTGATTTACATATTGATACAGCATTACTTGAGAAAGCAGTGGAAAAATTCAACCTGTAAGGAACCCAAATGCAAAATTCACATGCATTCACATCTTCTTTATCATCATCTAATACAAATTCTATGATATACTATTGAGTTGAACTTTAATGAATTATAAAATACCTTGGTCCAATCTCTACCAGAAGCGTGTTAGGAGTTTTCCCTTTAAGAGAACTGGAATCAGTCAGCTTTTCAGGTTGAAATGGTGAGCTAAGAATCCAATTCAATATACCAATTTCTTCATTTGAGAATGGAGAGGTAGCTTCAATGTAATAACATAATTCAGTTTCTATACTGATAACTGATTTTGAAATCTGTTGAAGTTGCTCCAATATATTTGTAACTCGACCAGGTTGCAAGCCTGGGTTCTTATAAAAGCATAGAATTGCCATATTGATATGGTACAACTAAAACAAAAACTGATGAAAAGCACCTAGTTAACTTTTTTTTTCACAAAAATGCAAATTTTCTTGAAGTAAATTAGTACTATCTCCACAGATACCAGTTGCTTACTGAATGTTATACTCAATTTCTAGACCCCCAATGAACTTAAATGATGAAGAAAGGTCAATAGTTTATCAAAAGAGGTTGATGAAACTAAGTATGTCGTAAGCTATAAGTTAGATTACAAGTTAAAAGATCAAAATTGAGACAGCATTGAGAACTTGGTTAATATGAAAATTATGTACAAAATATATTTAAAAGAGTTTAATCCACTGTGCATCATTTCAAATAAATATGTTAATAATTAAGACTTCTCTAATTCAAATGTAATTGATGTGTGGGAATGTTGATGGTCATGCTTTTTTTTTAAAGCGATAATAAAGGATTATTGGCACATACCATGATAGATAATACTGTTAATGAAAAATATTCAGTAAACGTCAATTGCTTGTACATACGCTTTTAACGATATATGCAAATATTTACGAATTATTTCAACATTTTCGTAACGATCATTTATGAGAATAAAAATACGTCTTACACATTTACACATGTAACCTCTACTATTATTAATCCTTTCATTAAAATGATTAAAAATAATTCATTATTCCAATAATTTGTATAAAATTTCTTAGCGTACTCTTCTTTCCGTTGAACAGGGACTTCAGGATCAGATTAAAATATATAAATTTTCTTGTGTACCTATGAAGGATCACAGGTTGTTTCTTTAGGTTGCTTACCTTGAGATCACTTGAGATGAATGCGTATTGAACTTTTTTCAGTGTTCATTCAATCTTCCTAATTATTAAAATTTTTTAATTAAAGATAAAATAATTTTTTATTCCAGGTCGGTCTATTGATCAATATCAAATATACTCTTTCAGATAACACTTTAAATATGATCAATCAATAATAAAGCAGTTATTGGTTGTTAAAATAATTTATATATTTTTAAGTTCTTTATAAATCAATTTTTCTATTGCCACCACTTTTTTTACATTATAATGTTCGATCAGTACTTATTAAAAGAATAGTAATGCCATTATTCTAAACATTTGTTTTCAGTTACAGTTCAATACAGTTTTCATCATGATCAAGCACGTTTATTCATTAAAAATTTCATGCAAGAAAATCGTAATTAGAGACGTCTTCAAATTGTTGATTCTGTGGATTTCCAGGAGCCATTAATCTTGTGGACATTTGTCCTCTGGGACCAACCATTTGCTGCTGCATTCCCAGAACTTGCCTATATTGTGGTTGCTGCTATGTAAGAAATAATAATACGGTGATATATCAAGTATTTTGCTTGAATCCATTATGTAATCAAAAATAATTTCTATTTATACCTGCTGCAACAGGTGACGAAGACCAAGATTGTTGGTCATTACGGGTCGCATCATTCTCTGAGTATTTGGCTGCTGCCCAGCCATGCCGGCGCCAGGATTAATTCCTCTTTGTGCCTGTTGTGCCTGATTAATTTTAAGATTGTATCAAATTAGTAATCACAATACACCTCCAAACTCGATAACATTTATACAAAACACCTAGTTTACCTCGAGTTGTTGTTTAAATTGCATTTCTTGCTGCTGAGCAACTTCAAGGTTTTGTTGAATCTGCCAATGAACAGTAACAGATAGAGTATAATCTTTTAGTAAGTAGGTTGTATAAAATTCCAAATTAGTTAGTTAACATACGTTTACTTCCAGCTGTGACTTGTATTGTGCCTCCTGTTGCTGTGCAGCTTCAAGCGTTTGTCGCAATTGTTGTATCTTCAAAAGGTTTTGTTGCCTGGCCATTTCCAAATCATCGTATGGCGGTCTCTGCTGTCCCATCATTCCTGGTCCTGCGCTTACTTGCTGGGGTCCTGACATGCCACTAGCCTGATAACAAAATACATTCTCTATGGATAAATGTAAAAACTTATAAGGTGTAATAAAAGATTATTCTCCTAAATCATTTTGGATTAATATTCCAAATTAATTTCTACCTGCATGTTAATTTGACCCTGTGGCCCACCAGATGTAGTTAATCCTTGCTGAGGTCCATTTGTTGAAACAACATTTTGTGTTATTTGACCACCACCCATAGCCATAGTATTCGTCTGCGACATAAGAATCCCTTGAGAAATTCCGGAAGTCGGTAGCGCACCAGAAATATTATTTCCCGGAACGTTTCCGGCCTGCAATATTCACATTCTACATTACTATCTTAATCTTTCCAAATGGAACAAATAGTAACTGTTCGCTAGTTTCAATATTGTTAATTGGATATGTTTTTTACCTGTCCCTGTCGAATAAGAGCTTGTGTGCTTTTCTGATGCTGAATAACTTTCCGAAGTCGATCGACAAAAGCAGTTTGATCGTTTGGAATGAATCCTAAATAAGCTCTTTTCTCAGCAGTAAACAATAAAATGAGAACTTTTATGTCACAGGGTGCTGGTGATGGCATCGAAGTAAAATGAACACACCCAGCCTGCAATTTAATTTAACTTAAATCAATTTCAAATGTGCAGATTATTATGAATTGATCAAATTGAATACTCACAAAGCCGGAACTCATGACCTTTGTCAAAGACTCGAGAGCTTCACATGGACTTGGATGAAAGAGAACAGATTTCGAGTTTTTCAAGTAAGCTCCGCCAATATTTCCTATCAATTGCTTCGGCATTAGTTGCATTATTAGCTTCTGTGGCCAAGATTCAGCTTTTCTGCAATTGTTTAAGATAATACTCTTACTAGTTTATGAATCTAAACTATTGGTAGAAGTGCTCTTAGACTCTGCTAATAAAAAAAACGTACAGTTCCGGTTCGCCGTCCTTCAGATTCGCTGACACTTGACAAGGAACGTGACGAGTTTGCTTTTGAGTATCCGTAGGATTTTTTGCCTTCTCAATCCATTCAAGAGTTCCTTGCCAAATAGTCTGCCGAGTAGTGGCCATCTGTTGTCCAGGAACAGGACCACCGGTGACAGTACCCTGTAAAAATCCGGCGATGAAAGCGTAATATGATTCCACAATCCGTTACCACACTATTATATTAAACTCTAGAATTTTACCTGTGGTTGACTATGTGGAATCTGGGGAGTCACCGAAGATACCGATGAGGATGACTGTGAAGCTGTGACTGTCTGCTGGACCTGAGTTGGCACCGATTGGCTCACACCGGAAACGGACAGCTGTGGTCCAGCTTGGCTTTGTGCAGGCTGACCAGCCATGCCCATGGACGCCTGTTGCTGTTGTGATTGTTGTTGTTGTTGTTGCTGTTGTTGTTGCTGCTGCTGCTGCTGTAACTGCATGGTAAGTCGTAATTGCTGCTGCTGCGTTAACTGTTGCTGTTGCTGCTGTTGCGTATTGCCGGCCATTACATTCGTACCTCCTAGATTGAAATAAAACGAGATCGCTTAACAAGAGAGATTCATTGTGGAAGTAAAATTGATAACAGAAATTATTCATCGGAATAAAGTAAAAATAAGTAATTGGTTGGTGCGCACTACCGTCCATCCTCTGGCCAAATGGCGATACGTTAATCCCCAGTGAAGAGGGTGGTTGTGTTAATTGAGCGATGAGAGCACTGCTCTGTGGGTTCGGTTGGGCCGTTGCACCAGGTGCGATAAACGGTGGCCTGAACCATCGTGGATGAGCAGCACGATTATTAATCGTGTTTGGAGGATAATTTGGTGGCGCAGCAATTTGAGGACTAAATGGTGGACGGCCAGCTGTCATTGGAGCAACCATGGGTGGTGCAACTGGCTGATGCACCGAGGTGATATTTTGTGCTGGGGCCTGATTCCTGAAGGTTGTAGGCTGATTTTGCGCTGGTTGGGCGATACTTTGAACAGCTTGATTTGGATTAGGACTGTCATTGCTCTGAAGCGGACTTAATGGAATCTGAACATTGGAAGGTGCTGGCACATGGACACCTGGTGTCGGGGATACTGGTGTCTCCTTTAGATTATAATTACGTAATAAGACCAAGTGTCTCGGATCCTTCGCATAATTTTTTGTTTGAGAAGACTGCAAATCTCCTCCAGCCTTCTCGAATAATTTAAATAGAGCAGGTATCTTTCGTGGTGAAAGGATTGATAGGTTGATGTTCCTCTAGAAAAAAAGATATATCTCGTTCTTATTATATTTATGTTTACTCTTATTACAAATAAAAACTTTTATTGGACGAAGATGCGTTACGATTGAATTACCTCTTGGAACAGTCCAGCTAGTTGCTCCACAGTATGCCCTGCAAACTTGTAAGATTCCTGAACCACTGTTTGGTACGGGGGCGAATTGCATAATAAAATGCAGTGCTTCTGCGATGCTGTGTTTGGTTCTCGTCGTAATTGCAAATCTTCAAAGCATTGTAAACCTGTTGCAAGGCCCTCTCCAATATTTGCATGAGACTCTCCCTTTCCTCCCACCATTCTAAAGGTAGTAATATAATCCAATGTTATGTCAACATTCTAAGCATATGCTCACATTAAAAAAAATTAATAAAACGTACTCTAGCTTTTCCAATGTCATCAAAAGTTTGTGAGGATTTGAGTAAGGACCATAGGTTCCTGTACAAGGAGCTGGTAGACAATCAGCAGCATGATACACAACAATTCCATAAAGTGTTGTACTGTTCTATTATTGGGACAAAATAATTTAATTTTATAAATGAGTTTTCAAACTAATGATTACAGTGCCAGTATATTAGTGGCGTTAAAAAGTACTATTATTAATTTTATATAAATTACCTCTGAAACATATTCACGATCCTCTATTCCACCTTGACTAAAATATCTGTAAAAAAATTGTATTTAATATAATATATAAAACTAAGTATAATAATAGTAAATTAGGATAATGTGGCACTCACTCCAGTGTAGGAATAAGGTAACTGGTTCTCAGATCGTGAAGGTACGCACCATTAACTGCGGTACCTTCTATAACAAATATCACATCAGCCTGCATCCCATGCTCTATTGGTCCTGCGACCATCTTAAATATGATTGACTGTTAATAAACACCTGTGGTCAAATATGAAATTCAGTATCAGACAAAATTATAACAATCTTATGAGAGAATATAATCAACTGCAAACAAAATAGTATGTATAATGAAATTGTATTGCAATAATCAGTCTCTGGACTATTGCCAGATGCAATGAACTTACTTCTCTGTAAGAACATTATGGTTGAGCATCAGAGATAAAAAAAAACCCTTACCCATAACACTAATTATTTAGAATCTTTAATATTGTTAGGGTGTCTCAATTACTTAAGTTTGAGCTCTGGAATCTATCACGAGACACAAATGCTTTAAATATAAGAACTGTTACAAAAGTCATATACAATACATATACAATTGTTTTTATGTCAAGAGATCAAAATGATTTTAGACGATAACAATATAATTAAAGGAAACAATTAACAATTACACATTCCATACACTCGTATCACCCTAAATCCTCTAAACACAACTCACTCTGCCATTGCGCTTCAATATGCTTCGCACTGTAGTCGGAAAATATGTAAGTAAACCGGAATACTTTTATACCGACTGCCGGAAAAGAGATTATTTCTATACCGATTGTAAATAACACGATTATCATCATAGTACTAGAAGACTTTAACAGATGACAATAGCGAACAAGTTCATTAGAAAATCGGATTCATAAAATTTAACCGTAGTTGACGAATCCAGGATAAACCAACGAACTGCAAGGAACTTCGTTCAGTAGTGAATGTGAAGTGTTGTGAGAACTTTCTTATTCATCGTTGTTTTTCTTAGATCTTTCAATCTTTCTCTAAGAATTTTTTTCTTGTCAATCGTCTGTGTATTTCTAATTTAATACTTGTGCGGCGTGCTAATTTAGAAAAAGGAGAAATTTGCATTCTTCGTTACCAAGCAATAGCGACAGAGTATTCTAAGATCTACGATGCAGTATTTTGTGTATTTTTAACCTGACAATGAACGAGGATAGCATGCCACAACGGGGTCCCGATCCGCTCGAGATTGCCCATGGTGTTTGCACAAACGAGAATGATATTCTACCCGTTGAGGAACACGAACTAATTGACGTTTCTGCTTTCAATTTCGACGATGAAGAAAGATGGTACAGAAATATCACTATTTTGAATTACAAAAGAAGTAGAGGGCTTGGTCATTAGCATTTTAAACGATCATGACTGATCATGACAGTAGCTTTGTAATGATCAGCAATTTTGTGCAGTATCGAATTTGGTATTTTATAGTATAATTTTAATAAATTATATATCAGTTGGCATACTTACAAATATTGTGAAAAATGTTTTTATTATTTGTAATTACAATATTTAAACAAACTTAAATATGTGCATTTAAATATAGTTAACAAACCTTTTCAGGTAATCATTTCTTTGGGAGTAAGGACATATGGCTTTATACGATTCTTTTCTTGTTATAGGATAATGCCTTTAATATTCTTTCTTTTCAGGTTGTATGTCTCCAGTCAGCATTCGGGCGATTCGGCAATACAGGATTTACGCGCATGGTTGAGAGGTGAATTTGATCAGGATTCAATAGAGTCTGATACAGGTGAGAGCAGTTCATATCCCATGTTTAAATTAGTCATATGCATGGAGAAGTATCTTACTGGCATATGAAATGATTATCACATTTATAATATTCCTGATGTTACTATTTCTGGAGATTGTTCGGATACAGTCTACTCCTATTAATCTAACTGTATATTGTAGTTCTTGGTCCGTAGAATATTAATAAGTGCAACACATTGAATATGGCTGTCAAATGAGTTCTTGCTGTTGTGCATTCTAAATTCAATAATAAATGATATATTTAATTTTTATTGTTTTTCTCTTAGCTGCCAAACCTTCAATCGACACAAGAACTTTTACCAGGCCAAAGAAACGTAGTAGTAGGATGAGCTTTGAGTCAATAATGGAAACTCTTAGATCAACACCCACAAGTTTATGGAAATTGCCAAATTCATACCACGACCTACAGGTTGGTATTTTCAAAGCTGCCTTATTTATGTTAATAATGTAAAAAACAACTGCAGGTTTTCCTATTGAATATTTAAACAAAACTTAGTGCTATATTTATCATTATATCTTGGATGAAAGCAACAATGTCTATGTAATTTTTTTCTTGAAAAGCACACTGAAAGTCAACATGTTGACATAATCATTACTTACTTAGTTCTCAATTCTTTTCTTGAGTCATACGTTGCAATAACAGCGTGAAATTATGAGTTCGTTCAAAATACCTGATTGCTAAAGGCGTTTGAGTCACAAGAATCTTCATGAAGTGATGGAACATGATTAGATTGTGGTTACTTAAATGGCCACCAGTAAAGTATAATAAATCCTAGAGAACCTTTTGTTATGAGTCATTGCAAAAATAGTTATAATATTTACATCTTTGTTACTGGTGGTAAACTGGACATCACGTTTTTCAAAGAATATGTGGACTTAGAACAAGCATAAGTGAGAGGTAACAATGATTTTTTGTGTCTTCAGATGAATCAGAATCCAATTGTGCCACCCAGAAGGGAAACAATTCCTGCAATGTTAAGACTGAACTCTGCGTTCACAAATAGTGTATTGCCGGAGAATAGTGCAGGACAGGAAAGTCTCGAGGCTTTTTTAGATAAGTCTCAATCGAAAGGAATTGATTCATTTATCAATATGACGGAGCCGGAGTTCAGTGATGAACTGATGAGCATATCACAACCCTCTGACATGAATTCATCCATTCTGTCAGTTGCTCAAACCGATAAAGACTTCAGTAGTCTGGAAGATTCGCAAATTCTAACTGAATCAATGATGAAAACCAGCATGTTCGAGGCAAGTAATTTCGGAAAGTTCGAGGACACGTTCCTGACAAACAAGAGCGTCGACTGCGATAAGACGTTGTGCAACAAGATAAAACATGATCCTATGAAAAAAATTATGAACGCAACTTTCGATGCTCATTCTGAAAATCCTGTATTATCTATATCAAAAAATTCTCTACCACTAAGGTTAGAAAAATTTGATCTGAATTGTACATCTTCTACCATTGTTGAAAACCAGCCACTGAACACATCAAGTGACGTATATAAAACATATGACATCAGAAAGGAGAGAGGCAAGAGCATAGGTGGTTTCAATGATTCCTACAGGACTTACAGTGTCAAGGACAAGAGTCAGAATCGGAGAGACATTAGAGGATCAAACTATTTGAATGATACTTATCGTGCCAGGGACTTGGATGATTCGCATTTTATGAATGGTTTGAGTGATCAGTTTCAAGATTTGAACATTATGAATAATACTTATATTGGGAGGGATGTACCGGAGGAAACATCCCGCGCAAATAGAATGATAAATTGCTTGAGTGATCGTTATCAGGCGTCAAATTTATCACTGATAAATCAAAATCGTGATTTGAACAGTCATAATGATACGTTCCGGGATCCCAAATGCTTGAATGATACTTATTGTGAAAGAAATTCTTTATCAGAAAGGTCTCAGGTGTCTGGAGTGCCAAATTGCTTAAACGATACTTATCAGGCCCAGAATGTACAGGTAAAAGGTCCGTTGCGGGGGTTCAACGATTCACACGACGAAATTCATCAGGAGTCGACCTGCCTGAACGACACGTATCGCACCGAGAGTTTACGTACCGAACCTTCTCAGGCGCTGAGAGTCACAAACCGCTTAAATGACACTTACAAGGATTGGAACTCTCCTAAAAGGAAAGAGACCGTACCGGGGAGAAAATCTTTAAGCACATTAAATGACACTTATTCTAATTCTAATGCCATGGCTGATGGAAATAGGGGTATGCTTTCAAAATGTTTGAACAATACTTATCGCGCGGAAACGCAAGATTTTCAAGAATTGGAAAATGATTTGAGTCATGTAGTTGACGAAAATAGGGCTTTAAATAATTTACCTAAACAACAGATTATGGAGCATTTAGAATTTACCCCGGAGAATCTGATGAACGCGACATTCAATGGGCCAATGTCTCTTCGAAGAGAATTACTGGAGGAGGTTCAGAGGAGTTCTGCAAAGACTTCCGAACATATTCCGAATAGATTTAATACATATCGAAAGAGTCCATCTCGCACGCAGAAATCACCAAATTCAGGAAGCACCAACTTACTGGTGGAAAGTGAAAAATTGGAAAATCTCGTAGTCGAGGATACTCTGAGCTGTGATACCGTAGGCACTCGCAAATTGTCTACTGAAGAAAATGTCTTTAAAGTTCCTCAAGAAGAGCCAAAGATATCGAAAATAACGAATCAGAGTGCTAAGACATCCGCTACTCTCGACACAATGAGCAATGAAGGAAAACAGCAAATGAATTCCTTGTTCGCTAAGTCGAGCAGGAAACTACGATCGCCCAGAGTCTTGTCGAAACTTCCACAGTTCCTGCAGAAGTCGAATCCCAATTTGAAATCATTGCCGATGACGAAGACGCACAGTGGGCTTACCTACGTTAAGGGTTCACAACCGAATCTCGCTTTCCCAATGGGCAGGACGAAGAGTGGCTCCGAACAGAGACTCATGGACGTTACGAGAACCACGGACGATTTCCTAAAGAAGGCTGCAGGATCTACCGAGAGCATCGAGAGTACTCAGAGTGCTCATAGCGCACCGGATTTGGATGATCGCTTGAGTGTATGTTCAGATAGCAGTCATAATTCCTATAGTGTTCGTGGGATGAACATCGAGCAACTTCAAAACATAGCCCGTATGCAGGAAGAAAGTAAGTTTCATTATTCATTGTACTTGAAGAAGAACATGTTTACGTTAGTTTTGTATCTTGTTCACGATATAATATATATTGATAAATAAATATGTGCAAGTACATAGTAATAATAGCTTACATTATTTATTGTATGTTATTCAATTCAATCCGGATTTAACTCGTTCGTACTCAAGATTTTAGTGTGTGATGTAAATAATTATATAAAATACACTTTCTGAAGGTCTCAAACAAATTTCAACGCCGAAACTGAATAAACGTATTTTGGAAAATGCCTGGATTGCTCCAGGTAAAGATAAGAACCTTCCATCACCGATAAGAAAGATCTCAACCGAAAGAATGGTCGGCGAAAATATATCACCTGATAATATGGGTTTAACTCCAAAAACAAGCTCGCCAATTTACAGTCCAGAAGGTTCTAGTCAATCGCTGCATACGGCCGGTGAGAAAATTATTTGAACAAACGTATAATAATTTTAATTTCTTAATTACGAAAGGTAATAAGTTTCTAAGTGATTTAAACAGTGTAATATATTATCTGAATTAATTTTAGGCATCCAGCTCAACAATCAAACCTGCATAATTCCAAGCCATAATATTGATGAGGCGTCAAACAAAAAAGTCGAGGTAAGGAAATGGCTAATGCGCAAAATCGATAGAAAATACATCTATCTAGTTAAAATTACACCTTCTGATGTTATGAAGGTACCGCAACCTCCAAAAACCACAGTACCAGCAGAGAGTAAATCACGATTACGTCAGCCGACAAACTGGTCGTCATCGAGTCGGCCAACTGGAATCCCAAGACCAACGATGCGGCTAGTCACGCGACCAGTTACCAAAACTAATCTGGACTTGAGGAAGGGATTCTGAGAAGAGGAAAAACGAAGGATATGGATAAACGAAGAAGTAGAAGGAAAATCGCAAGGTAGGAGAGAACCACAGGCGATAAGGACTCCTTAAGACGAATTGTAAATATTTTAATTAGTCTCTAGCGAGAATTAAGAACAAGGAAAAATAATCATTCAAGGGACTCTCATTGAGAAGTCCCGCTAAACACGAAATGATGAAAAGTGATACATTGCGTGGAGGGATAAAAGAACGCAGGTAAATTCAGTATTAAGGAGCTTCCCTTACAATGTGAAATCATTAAAGGTCTTCTTGTGAGCCTTATGAATTCAATGGAAGTGTCAAAAGAAAGAAGAATGCGAGAATATGCGCGGTTGTTATTTATGCCAGAGTGTTCTGAGTATTCGTTTCGTTTATTTTGCTTCTTCGTTTACCCGAATATTGTTTTTCTCATTTGCTACTTGTCTCTCTAGCCATTTACGGCCGAAAGAAAAGCATATAGTAAAGATAGTGCATAATATAATAATTTAATTTCATTGCTAGCTCTAACGAAGCAAATTCAATACTCTTATAATTGCTCTTGCGCGATGCTATAATAATATTTAATGGTGGCTGATCACAGGTTGCGTATACTGGGCTCGTGACGCTGCTGATTTGCTTGGTAAAGCAATTCAGATGTCAGTTAGAAAATTGGGAGGTCGTTTTCTATGCCTTCGAACTCCGTTTTTCAGCTTGTATATTTATTTTTTTTTTTTTTTTTTTTTTTTTTTTTTTTTTTTTTTTTTTTTTTTTTTTTTTTTTTTTTTTTTTTCGTTCCACATAAGTGCTAATAGAATTTCTTTATCTGGCTTTCCGGGATTGTTTGTCTTTCTTTCGACTCTTTTTTTTTTATTGATCTTTTTTCCGAACGCGTAATCTCGTTTAGTCTTCTTATGTTATAACAGTAAGTATAATGGAAAAAGGAAAAAAAATACAAAAAATATTTAATACGCATATTAAAATCGTAATGAAAGGAAAAACTACTGAGCCAAACATTGCCAAAATATGGAAATAAAAAACAACCGTAAGCAAGAAATCTTTTTTCGATGTTCTTGTTTGTTTGGAATTGAAGAAAGACTGGAATTAAGTAACAATTTTAAAAAGTCATAAAAAAGAAAAGAATAGTTCTTTATGTGTTCCGTCCTAATTTCGTTGAAGGATCACATGTGTCTACAATATTATTATATTATATATATAAATATATATAAAAATAATTATCAATCAAATAAGGATTACTTGTTACTTGTTTGCAACGTTGGCACATTATTCGCGATTTGGGAACTGGTACTTACATTCACTTATCAAATGAATTTACCATTAATTTGTAATAATAATTAACAAGTCCTATTATTAGGTCGATATAACATAATTATCCGAAGTCTCGTTATTGTCCATTGCTCGACGATTTATTATCAAAACCGATGACAGACGATAATTTGCGAAAAGAAAAATGAAATATCAGCCGACTGCATTCTCTTTTACGATAGTCTATTACGAGAAAACGAATGGTAATAAGCAAAAGACGAATGCATGTCTTCGATTTTTTCAATAGTGAAACTTGATCAAACTGCAGAGTGAATGACGATTCCATATAAATTATCAAATTTTTAATAAAGTTCCCAATCGATTAATTTTGATACTATTTACATTCCTCGTTCTTTGCAAGAAATTGTAATTCAATCACAGCAAGTAAGAAATACCTGCCATGGGACGCACATATCTTTGAACACAGTTCTCACTGATTAATTAAACTAAAGCTCTAATATTCAACACAAAAATTGATCATCAACCAGGAAAGGATTGAAAAAACAGCACTGATGAATCAGTTAACAAATAAGAAAAGTGAGACATGTGAACATAATTGTACAAATAAGAGAATGATATGAAATCAAGGAAACTAAATGTTTTCAAGAACATCCTCGAAGGATCTTCAATTAAGTTGGTTTACAATTTTTCTTAAAGAAAGTGAGAAGAATAACAAAAATAAACCCTCTCCTCTCGAATGATCCTTCGACACCCTAGTGCCTTTTATAATTGTAATTTGCAGCGATGTCCAGCTGTATCCTTTGAATTGTAAACCAGTGTTGAGACTACGCGGTCGACAATAGTACACTACTTATAACTCTCTTGCTCTTTTTTTTTTTTACAAATTTGATACTTTTTATGTATTATGCCTAAGAAGAGCGATACTGCCAATCGTCGTATTGTCGAAAAAAAAAGGATACAAAAATATCAGAAGAAATTGAAATAATGCGAAAGAAAATATTAGAGTGGGTTACATACGTGTTATATTACGTTAATATATCTTTCGACCGGATACATAATCGAGGATTAATTTGCGTAGATTGTGCTGCACAGGTGTAACCACGATAACATTATCACGACAATTTATACGACGATTATCGCCGTGTTTTATATATGAAAATATACTATACATATGTATACAAGTAATATGTATTATCGGTTTACGAGATTTTATGAGGCAACTTTTTGTCGACATTTTTTATGAATATTATTACTACCATGAATAAAATGATGTTATGATCAAAACCAACCGAATTTAATCACTATAATTGCTTCGAGACATTCATTAACTTTTACACGACTATTCCTATAGTGCAATCAGACAGAAAGGGCGAATACTTTTCAATATGCCATTTATTCCATTTTATATCTATTAATGACATCAACTAAAATCTTACAGCTGGGTTTTTCTATTCTCCTTTACATTTTATTAGCATACAACTTATAGTTTCCCATTTTATAATTAATAGTACATTCATTACACACTTAATAACTGTTACATCCATTGTTTTATAATAAAATAATAATAGACAGGTAATAATACTACATAATAATACTTAGTATACGAACTATACAATTATTAATTGTTCTATGCATCGTTTAACGCTTTTAGGAACAGACTAGACGCACTCTATACGGTTTTTCATTTGAAATTCTCTTTTTATTTCATGATTCTTTTTAGCTCTATCTACTAGCTTACATTCGACGTGAAAAAACTTCCCTACCCATACGAAATAAAGAAATAGAAAACGTGAAGTAAATTGGTTATATAAAAGTTGTATAGAAAAACGTGGCGTATAGAGTGAAAAAAATATAAACTCGTCACCCGATTTCGGAAAAACTTTTTTTCAATATTTTGATTATGGCTATGTAGTGGGTAAAGTTGGGGTGCATACGTTTTTGTAGGTATGTGGGATAGAGAATTCATTGCGACAAGTGGTAATCGTTAAGCAATCGCAGCTGCATCGAAGACCACAATAGAGATTCATAAAAAATGTTGCAAGATGCTAGATTAAAAACATCTAAGAAAAATTTTTAGGACGAGATTAAAATAGAGGAAAGAAACAGCGGAGAAAATATACCATAGTAAATTACACCGCAAGGCGCATAGCGAATTAGTTTTCGTTTTCATCTGTAATTTTCTCCAATTTCTGTTCTGACGCTATTCTTTTACCCATAACCCACTGACCTCAAGGAAACGCAACTGTCTTCCTCTTTTTCACGCCTTGTATAAAATTCACTAAAATTCTAAATGTCTAATCATTAATAGTCTAATGAGGTTCCGCTTCCTCTGTAAAGGCACACATCACGTTTATTTTCAGGGTGCTCCGTTAAATTGAGACCTGTATTACAACGGCAATGGGGTGACACGAATGAGGATAGTTGCCAATTAATTACTTATGGGCAACGAGTAGACAATTAATTAGATTTTAGAATTTCATTTACTCATTAAACGTCATTCTCTGTTTACCCGAGTATACCACCATTCTCTATTCCAGTGCGATATATCTTTGTCATTCTCAACTATTATAACAACTATACAAACCGCGATAACGTGTAGCATATACTGAAACTTCCATTTATTACTTTGACTTTTATTTCTTCTCCTCATTATGCATATGATAATTATCGCATTCTTATACTGATAACATTTAATCAATTGCCATTGGCAGCAATTAATTATTGCCGAACGGTCATCGAATCGCATTGTCCCTCATATGTTCATTATCTCTATTTACTTGTAGCATGGTGAAGAATATGGTATACTCTGAGATTAGTCAAAGATGATTTCAGACAAAAAGTATGTAAACGTTCAAGAGAAACTGTACGAAAAGACCTGCGTAAACGTCTAGTAAAAATGAACACATAAACATTCTTAAGATTATAGATACTCTTTAGGATGTCGCTATTTCTTTTCTTTTTCTCACATCATTTCCTCTCATGATTCATTCTACCTTTCTTTTGGCAGGTTTGATTTTCTATTTCTTTTTCTTTGCTTTTAAAGCTAACCGAATTAGTTTGTAGATCCTTTTGATTGTCCAGCAAGTAATCGGGCAGCTTCACGAACGCATCGCGGTTCGAGATTCATAATATATTTCGGTAAATACCGTTGGACTTTACATGGTCTGGCGCGATAGTTTAGTTTTTGTTGAAAAAATTATAAAAGCTCTTGTTGAAACAATACCTTGTGTTATGACTTTTCTTTGGCCAGGTTTTACTCGCAAGCTAATTTACTGTCAAAACTGCTCAGAGCGATGGCGAAGGCCTGCAGAGCACACAATGGAAAGCGGTAGTCCATCGTAAAGACATCTTCGGCTACGCGACCAAACTGCATCACTACGTAATCAACTGAACATCGAAAACAAAATTACATTTTCGATTACATGAATCAGATCGAATTCATGTTCTACGGTGATTTTTACATACCATCGCTGTCATGGACAACTTGAAAGTTCTTGACAGATGCCTGTGTGACTCGTCCATGAAAATTTAACACGTATGATTGCGTGTCATCGTTCCATACCGGTGTCTTGTTATGAAGCTCGATGAGATTATCCATGTTCTTCATTTTATAGCATTCTGGTTATTATAAAAAAAAAATACCAAAATAACGAAACACATTCATCTAGGAATCGTGGGATAAAATGACAAAGACTCGATTAAAAGATGTAATTAAATAACGATTTTACAGAATTTTCCTTACCAAGAAGTGTTTCCGTATCATCTCTTGGACAAATTTGAACTCGCTTCTGATCGGCAGTCATCCCTGGAATGATTACAGTCATTTTTCTTGGTCCTTTGAAGCCAAGAACATTAGTGTCATAAACGACAGCTGCAAGTTCTTGACGTGGGTTAAAACGTTCCTCGCGTTTCTCGCCCTTCATTAACGAGTATCCGTTGTCATAGACTGTGAATTGAGTTCCAAGCAGATTCGATCGTAACTTCCCCACGTAGGATTCTGCACCACGAGAAAGATCGGTTGGATCCGTTGAAATCAAATAGTTGCTTGTTGTACTTTTTTTTCTCTTTCGTCCGGCCAAAAGAAAAACCTTACAAAAAAATATTTTGAAAAGTAATTCGTTGACGAGTCATTCTTTTATCGTCTCACGTTAAATGCTCTGTTTACCTTCTTTCCGTAATCTCGCTCTAGATGCAGAAAATATGTTGGATACAGTCCACGATCCATTCCCTTTCTGTCTCTTGTTATTCTGCATTTGTAATGCATTTTTTTGTTGGCAGGCTGTAGAACAAACTGTTCGATATTCCCTTCGACGTTCCCTTCTAATTCCGGACTCTGTGAAGATAATTTGTCTTTAAGTTAATGTCTAATTGAAGTCTAGATAGAGGATACAGAATATGAGTGAATGGATACTTGCTGGTGAATTATTATCGCTGCTGATTATTGGATTAGGACCATCTGATGGAGCTACTCTCAGTGGAGATTGACAGGGAAGTTCCATAGGTGACCGCAAATCTACAGGAGAAGATTCTTCATCTGCACAGTCACTTTGTTCAGTTCCTTCATAGAAACCACCTTCTGTACTGATTTCTATCAGTCATAAGAATTATAAAACAATTGATTAAATAATATTCAAAATGGTATCAATGTTCATTAGAGTTACCTGTTAGATCTGTATCCATGGTTTTATTTTCATGCCCCAGACCAATATCAGGATTACTAGGTAACATGCTAAACTGTAATGGTCCATCATAGCCTAGGGGAAGGTAGTTAATAGGTAAAATGAAATCATCAAAGAATGATAACATTAATGAGTGTATGAAATACCATGAAGTTCTTTACTAGCATTCATCCACTTTGTTGAATGACTCGTTAGCTGTGTACTAGATATATTGGAGGATTGAACCATTCCACCAGCTCCACTTTGTCGTTTCTGTTTCATTTTCTGAGCAATTAGTTGTCTCTGTAATGCATAGAGCAAAAAAATTTTATTCAAAGAGCGAAAGAGTGGGTATTCTTATTGAAGCTATATTGGCTATACAGCTTCTGATAAAGGTTACAAAAGCGATACAATAACTTATGGAATGCTTTAAATTCTTGGAGATTACAACCACTTCGCTTACCTGTTGCTCTAGTTTTTGCTGTCTCAAGTCTAAGGACGTCATCTTGTGATTTCTTTGACAAGAAGACTGTCACAGTTTCTTTAGAAAATGATTTGTTTACTTGATGCAGAGAGTTACCGTTGATCGTGATACCTTGGCAACCGTCACGACAAAGTTATGACGTATTTTCAAGATCAGTTCATTGCAAACGCGCCAGAAGAAGAGAAAAGAAAAAAATGGACTCCAATCGCACTATTGAGTATCCCCTTTTACGTATATAAGTGACGGAGGAAACGAAACATGGCGTCATTAACACCACGCGTGGATGAACTTATAACTCATTTTAAGTCTCATAATAAAATAAGGGAGCAGCAAAGTCACTCTGCAAAAGTTCATAGCGTTGGTTGGAGCTGCGACGGCCGATTGTTGGCCTCAGGATCATTCGATAAATGTGTCTGCATATTTTCATTGGGAACTGACCGATTGGTAAATACAACTTGCTTGTACACAATCACTAAATTCAAAGTAAATTCTTTATCTTATTTATTATGCTGAATATATTTTGTTAATAATCTACGACTTAGTACTTACTCTGAATTAATTATTTCTTGGATGAATTCGCAAGATTCTAATGCAAAACCTGTACTTGATAACACTGGTAAAGTACAATGGTTCTCACTGCTTAAAGGCATTTTGTGTTTAAACATTAATCGCTTTATCAAGTGTTGTTCATACATCCCAAAATATTTCTTTAATATTTTGGTTGTTTAACCATAATCATCACACTTGATTACTTCCCTATTTACTACGTATATTTCTGTTCACAGAAACAGGAGATTACCTTTCGTGGTCATGGAGGTAGTGTTGACCAACTTTGCTGGCATGCATTTCATCCAGAGCTCTTGTCAACTGCAAGTGGGGATAAAACAGTCAGAATTTGGGATACACGAGTGCAAAAATGTACAGCAAATATTGGAACACGTGGTGAAAACATAAACATATCATGGTCACCTGATAGCTACACCATAGCAGTAGGAAATAAAGAAGACTTGGTCACTTTTATTGATGCACGAGTGATGAAAATTCGTGCTGAAGAACAATTCAATTTTGAAGTTAATGAAATCTCTTGGAACAAAGACTCAGACACTTTTTACCTCACTAATGGACAAGGTTGTGTCCATATACTCAGTTATCCTGACTTGGAGTTGCTGCACGTTATTAAAGCACATCCAGGAACTTGCATTTGTATTGAATTCGATCCTACTGGCAGATATTTTGCAACTGGATCTGCAGATGCATTAGTTTCCCTTTGGGACGCTGATGAGCTTTGTTGCTTAAGAACGTTTTCTAGACTGGAATGGCCTGTTCGAACCATTTCTTTCTCACATGATGGACAGTTACTTGCTGCAGCTTCTGAAGACTTGGTTATTGATATAGGAGAGGTTCAGACTGGCGAAAAAGTTGCTGATATTCCAGTAGAAGCTGCAACCTTTACAGTTGCATGGCATCCTAAGCAGTATCTTCTGGCATATGCTTGTGATGATAAAGACACTTATGATAGAAAGAGAGATGCTGGCAGTCTCAAAGTCTTTGGTTTTGCCAGTGATTAACTTAAAACCTCTTTGAACGTTTTGTAAATATTTTGTACATTAGCTGTAAGAACAACAGGATCATGTGATCATATTAATAAAGATACAATTAGATAGCCTGAGTATTACATCGCAGTCTTGTCGTACGGAGTTTGTAATACTTGAAATTATTTAAGATATAGTTTCAATAATACAGAAACTATCCTTTAATTTATTTTTCGTTTATTGTTATGAATGTATTAACATATTTCTCATCTATATAAAAAATTGCCGTATACTGGACCAATTTGTTTATACAGCATCTGGTAGAATTTTATCTTGTTAAAATATTAAATTTTTACTGGTTACAATATTTATATGAAAATAACATAGATCGACAATAAAACAAAGTCGCTACTCACCAATAGAAACTAATGTACACAGAGACTTGACAATGAGCACGATGCGTCATTATGGTACACCAATTCAGCTTATACAACTTATAACTATTTATTACGATATAAGTACTGTATTGAGGTTCGCGTGAATATATCTAGGTAGAATAATACAATAAATAATCAAGCTAACAGTAACATCCTTTCGGCTGACCAGATTTAGATTATCAATGCTTTAGACGATTTGCAGAATTCTTCAGTGATAAGTCGTTCTATTGTTGCACAAATTCTCATACTCATCATATACTGCTGATTCTATGCGCATCTACGACGCGCAGTATATAACAGAATTCAAAAGTGCGCTGAGTAGGGGAAGCCTGTGACAACAGACCAGCAGTCAGCAACGAGTAACGAGCTAATGTGTGTCAGAACCTCTCAGGTAAATCACGTGTTTAAGTGTTTTTTATAGTTAATGTGATTGAAGCAAACGCGATTGCAAGATTTGAAAATGTCTAGACGTCCGGAACATTTGGCACCTCCGGAAGTGGTAAGTAGTTGCTTTAAGTATGTTACAAACATTGTAAAATATTTTTGTTAAGCCCAAGAGTTTGTCATTACAGTTTTACAACGATGAAGAGGCTAGAAAATATACTCAGAAGTAAATATTAATTGAGTACTAGCATCATTTACGTATGTCATAGCTGTAGTTTCTGTAATATGGAATTGAATTTTCAGTACTCGGATGATAGATATTCAGGTTCAGATGTGTGAACGTGCCATTGAACTTCTTCTACTTCCTGAGGATGAGGCTTGCTTTCTTCTGGACATTGGTTGTGGTTCTGGTCTTAGTGGAAGTGTTTTAGAGGATCAAGGACATGTCTGGGTTGGAGTTGATATTTCTCCAGCAATGCTTAGTAAATATTGAATAGCATTAGTTTGCTGAATTTATAAATACGTTAATATGATTGTTTAATGGTATAGATGTTGCATTGGAACGTGAAGTAGAAGGCGATTTAATTTTGGGTGACATGGGTCAAGGAATGTCATTTAGGGCTGGCAGTTTTGATGGGGCAGTCAGTATATCAGCTCTGCAATGGCTCTGTAATGCAGATAAAGCAACACACAATCCTGTGAAACGGTTACAGCAATTCTTTTCTTCGCTTTTTGCGTGTCTTTCTCGTTCAGCTCGTGCTGTATTTCAATTTTATCCAGAAAATAGTGATCAAATAGAGCTAGTCACTACACAGGCTATGAAAGCTGGATTCTTTGGTGGAATAGTGGTAGATTTTCCTAATAGTACAAAGGCAAAGAAGTTTTTTTTGGTTTTAATGACTGGAGGTTCAATGCCTCTTCCAAAAGCTCTTGGAACAGAAGACACGTCAACAGTTAGTTACACATCAAAAAGGTAAGGAGGAAAGATAAACTGCTCAATGTCTTGTTTTTGTAAATTTCACGTTTTATTTAATTCTTTAACAGAGAACAAATGAAGAAAGCGAAAGGTAAACCCTTAAAAAAGAGTCGTGACTGGATTCTGGAGAAGAAAGAAAGGCGGAAAAGACAAGGTCGAGAAGTTAGAGAAAACTCAAGATATACTGGTCGCAAGAGAAGTGGACGTTTCTAATGTTTCATAAATTTCGAAATGCTCCTATATGTATAGATTTTTTTCAATGAAAATTGTAACGCTTGTATACGAAGCTTTATTGAATAACAGTTACAGAAAACATTACTGTGATTATGTATGAAGTTGTCAGTATATCTAATGTTTCTGCTAATAGAAGCAAATGATCAGCCATCACGTCATTTTTAAACTAATCTTTTATTAATCAGCAATTAAAAATTGTGACATACTCTTGTGTATGCCTTGTGGCAGAATTGCCTGAAGTTCCTCTTTATCTAACCATTGATATTTTACTGTTTCTTCAACATTGCCATTTATGTATTTAGCTAAAAAATAGAAAATTTTAGCCCCATATAGGCCTTGGTCTCTAATATCTTTTGGGTATCTATATTTATAAACTCCAATTGGAGCATTCCCATAAAACTGCACAGTTAATCCTTGTCCGCAAATATTTGATAACACTCTCTCTGCAGTCTGTATTACAAAAATGGTCAGTAAGTAGTAGCACTCAGAAAAACTATAACATTCTATTTTATTGAAGCAATGTGGAATTAGAAACTCACTTGTCGTAAGGTTTCTCCATCACTGCGTAAACCTTGAGGAGGGATCCAATAAGTTTTGTTACCAACATTTTGCTCTACAAGCAATACCAGATTCTTGTCCAATTTGCGTTTCAAAGAAGTTTTAACGTTCTTCTCATCAGCCTCTAGAATTATATTTTCAATTACACGTTATAAATGATTTGCATTAGTAATAAATGTACCAGTTATCTTAGGTGCAAATTTAAAGTTCTTGACTTCTTCTTCAGAAGCATCGACAAAGTCTTGGGCAGTCTGTTTGATGACAACATCCAAGTCAATTTCAGTGTTTTGCTGATTTTGTGATTGTAAAAGTTGTTTTTCTAATTCTATTCTGATTTCATGGTCCGACTTCATACTATTCTCATATTCAATTTGATTTAGCATTGCCTGATATTTTGCTTCCAATTCATTTAGAGGTTTAGAAATGATTGGATGCCTTTCTAGACATACAGCACTCATTAGATCCCACTTAATATTAGCTGATTCTGTTGCTAACCAACGAGCATCATGCTGCAGCAAAGCTGAAATACATATAACTGATTAAAATATGTAATTTAGTCCAAAACTACTATTTCAGTACAATACAGAAAGACATAACCTCAAATAAGCTGATACTCTTTGCATTTCTTTATAATCAATCAAACTAATGTGATCTGCTTAGATATTCGATTTACCTTTTGCTTTGCTGAACGAGAATCCTGTGCAAAATCTTAGTGATTGTCTGAACATTTTTTTTAACCCAAAATATTCTCATCACATAAAAGCACTGTCTGCTAGGGATCTACCCAAATCTGCCGACAGCGGCCGACATCATTTAATACAATAAAACGCACATGTGTAATCCATGGAATTAAAAAAAATGTATTTTCAATTAACGTTCTACAAGACATATCAATGTTTGGATCATTTCAGAAAATCTATCTATATATTTGATAGAAAGGATAGAGAATAATATGAAACATGTATTCTTCAAAAATAATTTATTACATTAATCCCAGTAGACTCAACGCGTCTTTTTTTTTAAATTCGGGAATAGTTTAGCCTATTTAAAATCACAACGCTCCTCTTCATTGTTCTCATATCTAGAATATGTATATCATTGTAACAAATATATCCTGGTTGACGCTGTCTAACGCGATTACAGATTTTCTTAGGACGTGCGGAAGGGAGAAGATACGATTCAGTTGTAATTTGCAAAGTGTGGCCTGCAAGGTCGTCCTCGAACCGATCGAATCGCATGATCACATTTGTGCGTCAATACTTAATGGATACTTATGTACAGAACTAAGTTCGTCCGATAAGGTCTAATGGACTAGGTGATCTCAAGGCACAAAAATATAATGGGAAACATCATTGGTATCTTCCATAACTTTGGATTGGAGCAACTTGATCTCGAGTCTTAGTTTCTCCTTCTCCATTTCTTGCTTTCGAATTTCATTCGTATAGCAGTTCATCTGAAGCTTGAGCTTGTCTTTTTTAAGCTTGAGCATTTCAGTCTCGTGAAAAAGTTTACTCTGCTCGGCACGGAGTACGGCCAGTTGTTCTTGAAGAAGCTGATGACTGGCCTCCTCCGATAGGACAATCTCTGTGGCATCCGTATCGGCTTTGATATTCTTTGCACTCTTTGATCCATTTGTATCGCTCTCGGGACCACTTTCTGGTTCTGTTTCTGCAGACACTGCTTCCTTCATTATCCAGACACGAGAGTCTGAGTTATCGTTCAGTGTCCCCGGTGATTTTGGTGTCAGATGGGATCTAGGTGACATGTACCTACTGTGCTGTGTTGGACATGGTGACCTGGAGGATCCCTTCGTCGTAATTTTCTCCATTTCAGTACTTGGCGTCATTGTTTCAATATCTAGAACTAGACCAGTAGATCTATTTGGTCAGAGTTTCCTGTACTATGAAGTGTACAGTTGATTGCAGATTCTTACCTTGAGATCTTGGTGATCGACTATCGTGTACAGCATGTGTCAGATGATTATTACAGTAGGTATTGAATTCCCTATCATCAACGAATACAGAGCCGTCCGCATTTACAATAGATTCCACTATCACAGAAGGGTCGCCGTCCTCCATTACTAGTTCACCAACTATTTCACCGTTAGCTGTTATTATTTCACCCTCGTTGTTTGCGCTCAGGAGTTGACCCTCAGCAGTGTCCATATCATCGACAGCTTCTTCTTGAGTCAACTGTCCTCCGTAGGAATCCTCGCCGTCATTTCCCTCGCTTACTTCCAACTCAGCCGACAGACCCTGTTAAGTAAAATATTCATTGTTGACTTTCATTTTACTACTCTTTGACAAGTTGAAACTTACATCTTGACCCCAGGGTGACTCTTGTTCCTTTTTCATTCTTTTTATTGTCTGAGCTATTTCGTCCTCGGATTCAGAGTATATTTTTGCGCTACCTTCTCTACCCTGCAACTTTTCTATATCGTGAATTTTCTTAAAAAGCTGATATGCCCTCTCTGGTGTGATTTCTCGTTTTTGCTTATTCGCTGCTGCTATATTGAATAAATCCTTGGAACGGAGTATTTTATTAGTACGTAAGCGTACGTATTCCTTCAGTCTCTTGCGGTCTATGTGAAGTTGCATTAGGTCTTGCACTTCTTGTTTAATTTCGCCGCAAAGTTTTCGTTCTTGCGGAAGATTTTTAAATAGTTCCTGATGAACAATATCCAAATTTATGTGAGGATATACTAAAAAGAAATACGATGTGATTATTTTCTGTACCTCTGATATCTCGTGATTGTGTTCGTTGTTCACACTTGTAACTTCAAGTTTTGTTCCGTCCTTGGATGCTCTAAGCATTATATGTGCTGGACAATTGGTTCTTATAGACCTTAATGAAATGAGAAATATTAGAAACAACAAAAATTTAATGTAGTAGGATTCGTACAGTGTGTAACTGACTGGGATTGTCTTCGACCTGCACCACGTGGTAGAAACTTCTGTCCACCGTATATACAGGCGTATTTGACAGAGTAATATTTGAGCCGTTCGCTGATCGGTCGAGCTGTTTTCATATGAGCTCCGTTGACAGTTCTGCTGTCTCTCCTCCAATAATGAACCAGACTACGGCGTGAAAACCTTTCCAACTTATGTTCAAGCTCTTCGTAGCTATCGAACATTTCCCCCAAGCGAAAGGACACGTCGTCCTCCTCCACGGCATTCGTATCCATCACCAATAGATCAATTACCATTCTATGCACCATACATTAAGAAAAACTCATTGTGAAAAGAGACTCTGTTAACTGTCATTCTGATATGTCATAGTTCCAATAACTAAAGTCAAGGGATCTTGTCTTTAGAAAGAGACATATTATAATTATAATAATATGAAATGCTTATAAACATTCGTTGCCAAATTTAATGTGAATTTATCATAACAAGCTTCGCATTGAAAAGTATGGTGCTATTGCATAAAAAAATAAAACAAAATGTAAAATAAATATTTAGGAGATAGGAATTGGGGATGCATTCGACTGAAAATATTATTGTTTAAAGTTCAATATTAACTCATTATTTGTTGAAATAAAGTTCTCTCAAAAATTCTATTGGATTCCTTGAGGTTAAGGTCTTAATGGTTTGATTGGCGTGACACAAGCCAAGATGGTCGACCGTGAATACAGACAGAGGGAATTCCCTCTCGAGAGACGGCCAAACTGTGTCGTGCGCGATTACAAGTTTTTCACTAATTTTCAATTCCACACAGAGAATTCCACTGGTGTAGTAAATTTTCTAGGTGTATCCTCGTGGCTGTGGTTTCTCTGGAAGTTTAAAAAATAAAGTTTATCGAATGAAAGACATACCACTGCTTCTCGCCATAACTGGCACAGGACAAGTGACTGGTCTACAGCGCATCTCTTCTCTCTCATCATGTGTTTTCATATTTCCAACCTCTGTGAATCGAATTCCAACGACTTTGCGTAGAAATCTTTAAGGTCCTTTGATCCTTCTCACTGGAATAGACTTAAATAACAGAATGTGAACAGACTATTTAGAATTAACAAATATTGATTCACTTATAAGCGATCCTTCCGATGGTTTATTATCAATAGGTAATAATCCATAAGGTGACTCATTGGTACCTTTTTCCGCGAACTCTTGGAATCCTAACATAAAAAATATGACAAGATAGAATGAAATGTTACAATGCAGTAACATAGTTCGCACATGTCGTATTATGGTTTAGGCAATAATAAGCAAAATTTACAAGTAAATAATAACTTTATTTCATGGTAACCAATCAGTCTCCTCATCCAGATCCATTGGTGGAATGGGCGGTGGTTCGTCTTGGTTGGCGGAAATGACCTACGACATACGACCAAAAATACGCATATTGAACTGGTTCGAATATTAATTGATTTTAAAAATATGTTTAGTAGGATGTACTCTATTTTACATTCATTCCTAGACTTACAGAACTTTGACTAAACTGTGGCAAGTCAACAGGACTCCGAACCCTTTTTTCATTTTCAGTTTTGGCACTTTCCTCAGACAGTTCTGTCTTTTCCTTTGACAATTTCAATATTTCTGCATTTTTCTGAGATTCATGGGCCTGATCTGCTTGCAGTACTTGCAAAGTTATATTCTATAAAGGAAGTAACTTATTATTAAAAGAAGAAAAGATGTAACGATCTTAAGCGTCTTTCTTCTTGACCTATTTTACCTTTATTGTATATGCAATAGTTTCTTTAATATAACTCGTAGCATACAAATCTTCTGTAAATTTGGCCTGCAACGTTTGATAGGTTTCATTCATAATGCGTTTAATTTCTCTTGTCTTGTCCAGTCCACTCTGCAAAGGAGGTCATATATTTAATATTGTTAAAAAAGTGCATAAATAGTAAATTACTTACAGAATTATCGTTTCTTTGTCTTAAAGAAATTTCAGTCTTCTTTAACACATTATTCTTCTCCTCCAGTTCAGAAATTTTATCTTCCATTTCCATTATTCGTTTTTTGTAATTGTCAACAACTCCTTTTACCTCTATCAATTCATTTGACATCTTTTGTTTGGCCTCTCGGGTCTCTGTCAATGAGCCTTCTAAATCATTAATTTTTATAGTGAGTGCATCATTTTTCTTAATCACATTCTTCTTCTCTTGCTCAACATCAGCAATATGTTTCTTGGCATCAGTCACTTCATCTGAATGAATCAAATTCTATTCCATCACAATAATTCATATAAATACTTGAATACTAATTGTGTAATAGTTCAGTACCTTTTGTGTCTTTCAATTCTTTTTTTAACATTAATATTGTAGCTGTAAGTTCCTGATTTGTGGCTGTTAATTTCTCGATTTCTTTATCACTAGCACTTGTGTCAACAACTGTATTTCTTTGTAATTCGCTATTTTTTATCTCCACTTGTTGCAGATTTAATAACATCCTCAAGGAAGTCTCTATTGTTTTATCGGTTGCAGGCGTCGCGGCGTTTTGAACTTCAAGAACATGAAACTTATCAAGAAGTTTCTGCACATTATCTGCTATCTTAGCCATGCCCATTCGAATTTCAGTACTTTGGGTCCTAGACTCTGTTAAAAATATATTTAGATTCGGGTCCATAGCAGCTGGAATTGGTTGTGCAATTGTCTGTTGATGCATAGGATATAACTGACCATCCGCGGTCATATACTGAGACTGCAATACGATTATAATTCACATAATGCAACGTTATCAATAGAAAAATTTGGTTCGTAGGTTGGATAATTTATTTTTCAGAATTTACTTGTAATGGAGTTTGCGGCCATTGAGCTGTAAATGCTGAGACTGGAATCAGTGGTCTGTGCATTGTAGACATAATGGGTGGTACGGAATTTCCAGGCTTGAAAGCATTATCGCTACTCTGACTAATTTGATCAGTTGGTTGTTGAATCGAATGCACTTGTTTCTTTTGGGAGGATATTCCCGATGCTTCGGACTAAAAAGGAAGTGTGGATTAAGTACATTATGATTATGATTAGCGTATCAATAATATAATCATTGTTTTGTTTAAGTACTCACTCTTTTATATCGTGTTGACTTTGGCTGAAGCTCTTCCTACAAATAAATATTAACACATATTTGATCTGTTATTTATATAATTAATTAGTGATACCTGATGGACTTATCATGCAACTATTACAAAAAAGATTGGTAATCCTTACTTCTGTATCCTCGGAATCTGTTGTCGTGGATGTTGATAACTTGGGGAGTATGGATTGTCCCATCTTAGCCATTCTTGAAAGAATTGCAGCTTTACCACTAGCTGGAGGTTTTGAAACTTCTTCTTTTGGGGGAAATATTTTGATTAACTCAATCTCCAAAGCAACATCCTTGTCTTTGGGGAATGGAGGCCCCAGAATGATCTATAGTGTATAATGTCTATAGTAGATAATTTATTTTATGGATTAATATGTTAATTAAATTACCTGTTTGTTTGGTGGTAAAAATATCATTCTTTTTGATTCTACACTAAGACCTTCGAGAAGCTTCTCCCAATTATCATCTACGTATAATTCTTCTGTAACAGTCTGTGTAGAGAAGGAAGCAACCTTTAGAGGTTGCATTAATTCTACTATAATAAAATATTTGATGGAAACTTTGTCATCCTTTTTCACAACTGAGTCTTTTTTTATTTCTGTTAAATCTTGGTATAACACTATATTGTCAAGTTTTTCTGTTTTTGAAAAATATCTTGAAAGAGCAATTTCTCTGGCAAATTCTATGCTTGCTTCACTATTATCAAAAAGAATTGACCAGTTGTCCTTATTAGCATCATAATAAGAAGAATAATTATTGGTTTGCACACTGTATGAAAACTCTGGTGTAATAGTAACGATTGATATATGATCTTGTTTGCCTGTATATAGAATTAATTGATACTGCTTTGTTGATATATTTCCTGTTAAAGCCATACCAAGCTTTCCAACTGATACATAATGGCCCTTTTGCCTGCAATATAATATCGTAAAATTATGACTATAAATTGACTGTTACTAATTACTTACAATTTAAAAGCATGGATAGCTTTTGCAAGAAGAACTTCTGTCTTAGCTGATGGAATAGTTTGGAATGCATTTTGACCACTGACAGATTGTTCTGGGGATGTATATCGTAAGGGTGTTGGAAGATTTTGAGTTTTTTGCGGAGTACCAAAAATAGACGCTAAATTAGACCTGAAAATTAAATGATTATTTAATCAAGTATTTTTGCATTACATATATTTAGTCTATATTTGATAGAGATTTATTGTATTCTTTTATACTACAAAATATAATTTTTAATAATATATATAAAAACAGTTTTCTATCATACCCCCCAGAAGGTAAGAAGTTAAGGTCATCCTCTTCTCTAAAGATCTTATTAATATTCGGCAATTGCTTCGTTCCACTCATAATATGAGTTAATTAAACAAGCATCGTTTCTTAATACTTAGCCAAAAAAGTGGACTGAATAATCATAAGCTGTCATATACCAAGTGACAGTTTATCGCGTGATTCATTATCGACTGTAACACCACGTTGTGTACAGGGGAAAATAGGAAGTCCCTAGGATTTGGTGAGGATATGAAAATATATAAATTTATAATTTCCATAACTTTAATTTTTATACCCTCCATGTTAAGTAATAAATATGAATAATGTTAATCCGAATTTTCAATCAGCTTCTTGTATTTAGGGTCTTTCATGATTCAGTCAAATAATGTCTATTGTCATGTCTATCAAATACATGTTTTTTATTACGAGTTTGCTTTTATCTACATAACATCATTGCTTTAATATTGGCTTAACGGGCTGGTTCAAAGGTGTAATGTGTTACACCAGGTGTAGGATACTGCTTCTCCAACTGAAATTTGGCGTTGCATGTAATGTAAGTTAACAGCATGTTAAATAATTCTGTATAAAAAAAATGTACATACCACTGGTCTATATATTTTATTATCTCTTGTCCAGAAGAAAATTGCCATGAAGGTACCAATTACACCTAAACTCGCTGCATAGTAGAACCATATTGGATATTGGGTTTTTCTGCCAGCACCCCAACGATCTTCTCCAAGCATGTTAATTTCCCTATGTACCTGATATTGAAGCATATTTTTAATAACATGAAAAAAGCACATTAAGGCTTATACCAACTTACAGCTTCATTGAAATTTCTTTTCAATGCTGGGAAATCATATGGATAATATGGATCATTAAATTCAACTCCTTTATCTGGAAGTTTCGGGTAATCCCCAGATCCTAATCCATCATCATCTGGGTAAGGCTCATACTCTAGTGGATGGAGATTATATTTGGCAGCAGCTTTTTTTCTTTCCTCTTCTGTTGTTGGGTATGGACCAGGTTTCCAATCAGCATTCTTAACTAAAACAATCAAGTCATAAAAATTAAGATATAGCTAATCATTGATAAATTCCTTTATATGCTTTACTGAATGAATAATACATTGTTAATAAATGTTTAACTAACATCACAGCGATTGCCACAAATGTGAAACATGCAGTCTGTCATTTAGATACAATTCAAATTCATAGCTTTCTGTATAGTGAATATCTATAAAAACTTATGTAATATCATAACCTGTGGATGGAGAACAGAAGTTAGGAAAATTTCTTTTAATATGTAACAAAGAAGGCAATAATTAATTTATAATGAAACTTACAGTTCCGGACAATCACATACAAATATCCTGTTTTTCTTGGAGTCAATTGGGAGGAAAGTCTTCCGAATTTTACCAAAGATGCCATGTTTGATGTGTTGATCGTAACAAGAGTTCGAGATACGATTAATAAGAATCGATAACGTGTGTGTAGCCATATTTCGAAATGGAGCACTAGAGAGATTGAAAAACCCAGAAAAATTCTATAATAAACGTTAACATAGTGTGTACGCGTGATGTTAAGAAAACTCGTTTAGATAGAACCTGAAATGTTCTGTAATATTAAAATAGATATAAGAGGGTATTATTCGAAAGGGCGGCCATGTTTCTTAAGTAGCGAGCTGACAACGCGCTGTTCAGCGCTGTTCACAAGCCTTCAGGAAAATGGCCGGTGGCGTGTGCTCGTCAGTTTTACTGTTGGTTGACACAGTGTAATTCTTGTGTTTCTCCTGGTAAAAGTCAGAATACGGTGTATGGGCAAGACGAAGCACAGTGGAGTTCTTTAACCCCAGGGCCAGTGTATGAATCAAAACGGTGCGTATTGGTTATGCTTATTCAATCTTGGACTTTCTGCAATGCTACAATGGCCAGTGACTCTTGGATTAGTTATTATTTTACCAGTATATCTTTCCGAATAGCCGTTCCTTATTTCAGCTCTTCTGATAACGCTATTTCTTTGCATCCCATCTAACTAATGGAATTGCTTCAAAAGGTTTTGGTTCATTTTTTGCTGAGTCAATGACCAACCATTAAATGGTTCTTGATGTATTATAATTAAAGAGGTTTTCAAATTGTACATTAATATATCATTGCAGGCCATAATCATTGATTAAACTGGAGTCAGACAGAAGCAGTATGGCGAGTCCTTCGCCACAATCTTCTCCTATGCCTCCTCCACAAGCACCAAGTCCTATGGGACCACCTCAGCAAGCTCCATCGCCTTCAAATCCTCAAGGGAGCCCTATGGGACCACCACAGCATCATCCTCATAGTCCAACGCAAGGATATCAAGGTGGACCACCACCTCCTGGTCCACCGATGCCCCAGCCACCACAACAGCAACCACCATCGCAACAGCAAAGTTATCCACCACATCCGCAACAAATGCCACCTAATATGGGTCCACAAGTAAGTTCAATATTTGTCTATTTATATAAGGAAACATTGAAATAATACGCTAAGTGAAAATGAGGCTTAATACAATTGAGACTATTGGATATAAAGTTATATTATATAAAATTTTATGTGTGTGTGTATATATATATATGATAAGTATATCAAGGTTGATTACAATATAGATTATAAACAAAATTGAAGTCACATTAGGTTTTCATCTAAAGATATAGAGATCGTATCCTTAAAAAGTTGTACTAGTTGATCTGCCATATCTTTATTACATGCTGCAATTACTCTGGGTGTCATGAGATCCAATTTACCACCTAGAAAAAATATAAGGTATAATTTATATTTGAATTTATAGACTCATTCTGAAATAGTCTTTATTAATGCCTCACCATTGGTATCTATAACCACTCCACCAGCTTCTTCAATAATTAATTTTCCAGCAGCCACATCCCATGAATCTACACTTTCTACATGATAAGCCTCTACTGCTCCCATGGCTACATAACATAAAGTCAAAGCAGCAGTTCCCAAAGACCTTATACTACAAAATGCAAATAATTTACATCAATATTTTACATCTTATCATTGCTCAGAAATATTATTAACTTTTTATGAATCAATACCCATGAGTGCCTTGAATCACAGCATGCATTCTTCTATAAACATTGGCTCTGTAATGTTCATTTTTGGCAATCCATGGTTCCATAGCCACAAGAGCTTGAATCAAATCTGAAAGAAAACCGAAACAAAACACCATTTTTTGTTACCTTACAACTCGTTTATTCGTGCAATCAATGCAAAATACTTAAAAGAGGTAAATTATTTAATATCAGTGGAAAAAATTGTAAAACAACACTGCCTCCAAAGTAATAATTAACGGATATGAGTGTGCAAAACTTAAAGGTTTAAAAGATGGCGAGATTGCTCTCTCTCATTCATTGCATGTGAAGGCCACAAACGATCTAGCATGCGATTCATTATTTCTCAGGCATAATTTTCATTATCGAGCGTGAAGAATCTTGTAAACTTAATATCACAGTCTAATACCTATGTGCATAAATAGCCGAATCACTAAAAGATCCTCTGAAAGGAGAAAGTGAATAGTCCAGATACTCTGAATCCTGTCGAAGATACTCTGAGAATTACCTTTTACGCGAGATGTTGCTATTGCTCTTCCATTGAGAAAAGCTCCTCTGCCTCGTCGCGCGGTAAACAATTGATCCGAAATAGGATTGTAAACAATGCCAATTTCTGTGACCTTATTAAGAAGTAGAGCAACGGAGATGCAAGTAAGCGGGAATCTGTGGACGAAATTTGCTGTACCATCAATGGGATCTATGATCCACGTCGGTTCGTCTGTGAGCTCCGGTAGACGTCCTTCCCTCGCCACTGTCTCCTCTCCAATGAATCTGGAAACATCTTTTCTTCACTATCTCTTTATAAAGGAACTATATATTTTATTGTTGCACTTTAACTCACTTGTGCGTAGGATATTCGTTTGATAAACTTTTGATTAACACGTCCTCTACTTTACGATCGTATTCCGTGACAAGATCCCAATCGATTCCTTTACTCTCTGTAATTTTATCCTTGTCAATGGCCTCCGCTATCACCTATCGATAATTGACATTGCTCGTTAGTCAACACTCTTTTATCAGTACACCACGTTAGTTACCTTGCCTGCGTCCAGGACCAGCTTCTTCGCGAATTCATAACATGCGTCGAGTTCTCTCTCGTCAGCCATTATCAGCTGTGTTTTAGTCTATCTCACCTAAGGTGACTATTCTTACTGGCTTACCCAGTCGCTAACTAGCCGCTACGAGTTTCACTATCTAACTGGCAATTTCTCTATGCTTCTAGGTGGGGCGAACCCTGACTCTCACGATCAGTTTCGATAGAACTTTTAATTTAAAGTTAGACAACGGTAGAGGGTACAGTACATGCGTATGACATAATGACGTTCAAGTATTTGTCGACAGGTACCCTGGATGGTCAGTGGGATACCCCACGTTTTCCTGATGGAGATGGTTGCGTCGAATTGACGTTTTATTTATTTTCCCTCTCTTTTTCTCGTTTAAATGCCATAATGAATAGTCGTTACGTAATCTTGGATATCCACTGAGCACCAGTCATGCTTCACCTTCGTTTTCTTTTTTTTTGTTCCCGTAGCAATTCCTCGTATGGCACCAGGATACAAACGTAAACGGGGACTCACGATATCCACTTGCCATTCTCTCTCGTTCGTGATTGCGCATGAGTCTCATGACGCTTCAAACAGCTCATCGGCTCTACTTTATGCATGATGCACACTGACGTGATTTCACGGGTATCTTGTAAATGAATTTGTCGGTGAAATAAGGGCGTTCGAAGGAATACACAATTTAAAAAGGGAAAAAAAACTAGTCTGAAATTTATTGCTGAAAAATCAATGACGTTGACGGAGTCGATGATTGAGAGAAAATAGTTGTAATGATTATTTCTTTCTTGCGTCCACTCTTGCATCAGCATCTCGTAAGATCCGAATGAGTTCCTTGGCGATCTTCTGGTTACACGCGCCGATAGCCCGTGGTTTCATCAAATTGACCTTTTCTCCTAAAATAAACGGAAGTGACTATTTGTCTTTGACAGAAAATTCTCATTTTTTTTTTTCTTTTGCGAAGGATGATCGAAGTCTTGCTCACCTGTCACTCGGTCCACCACTACGCCACCAGCCTCGGATATTATCAAGGACGCTGCGGCTATGTCCCACGTTGAAATTCCTGGTCCCTCAATTGGATAGGCCTCCACGACTCCCAGCGCCACGTAGCATAACGTGATAGCGGCAACTCCGAGAGTGCGGATTCTGGAAGAGATCATAATCTTCTTTGTTCGCTGTACTGGATTTATTTGTAGTTACGATACTTACCCTTGGGCTTTACGAGCAATTGTTTCGATTCTTTCTACCATGTATTCTCTGAGGTAGTCAACTTTTATAAAGCCAGGTTCGAAGCAGATTAGCGCTTTAGAAATGTCTGAAAATTCGATGGGAATGGAGGCAAACAGAAATTTTTGTAGCTTGTCGATTATCATTTTTCTGGTATAGATTACCTTGTACTGCGGAGGTTTTAATGCGTTCCCCATTCAAAAACGCGCCTTTACCTTTTCTGGCACTAAAGAATTGTTCCAATATTGGATTATAAACAATTCCAAGAACCATGTCTTTTTCCATTGCCAAACCAATAACGACACAAGTATGTGGAAAGCCATGAATAAAATTGGTTGTGCCATCTATAGGATCTACGATCCACGTAGGATCATTCGTCAATTCTGGTAAATTTTGTCCAGTTGATTCCTCTGCTATGAATCTATTAAGCAAGGGTTAGGATTGTTTAACACTTCGGTTATGAATTTGCTGAACTCACTTGTGACGAGGATATTTTATTTTGATTTGCCCTAAAATTATTTCTTCGATCTTAGTGTCGTACTGCGTAACCAAATCCCAATCTCCCTGTTTCTCCTTCATAATTTTTAAACTGCCAATGGAGTTTTTGAGGACCTACCATCGAAAGTCAAAATTACTAGTTTAGATAAACTCTTTAATTCGCTTCGGTATCTATAACGTTTTCTCCTACCTTGGCTGCATCTCGTGCCAGTTCCACAGCAAATTCATAATACTCATCCTGAACTGAAGTCATTTTTTAATCGAATGAGACCATCGAGACACCGAGCACAGTTTCACCAGGAAATATATGAATAGACACTGATAAGCCTGCTTTGCTGTTAGGCTGTTGGACTATCAAGGATTCAGGTACCAGGCGGAATGGCAACTCTCGCGTTCATGTTAACTATTTATTACGTTCTCTCAGGAAAGTTTCGTTATACAGTCTCCGGTTTGATTGTTTGGTTTTTTTTTCGTTTACTCAAGCTCACGACTCGTGCGTCTCGAAATGACCTAAATTCTCAAACTTTTCGAGACATTATTTGCCATGCATATATTACTGAATTAAGTAGTGCTGTTGATTCACTCCGATAAGGCAAGCAACTTATCTCTTTGTATTTTTATAGCGAATTTCTAAAAACGAAGCAGACTTGTAGCTCCTTGGAGGATCATAAGCCGTAGATAATTTCGGAAAATGAAAATGTGACGAGGTATACAGCCAGCAATTACTTTATGATGTATTTTTTCGGTCGAGGAATTACAAGAAATTTTTGATCGTCGACAGTTGATTAACTTCGTTAACCATTAATTTAATATCAGGTTCGTTGGAGTCTCTTACGCTGAACCTTCAAATCCGTTTCCACGATTAGCTTAGCAGTTTCTCGTGCCAGCTTTTCATTTGCTGCAGCTAATGTTCTAGGACGCATTATGTTACACTCGCCCCCTGAAATTTTCAAAATTAATATTCACCATTGACAACTTCAAGCACAAGGCTCTATGAGACGTTTGGTTTTCGTAAATCGACCTCGGGAATCTATGACGACGCCACCAGCTTCGCGTACCATGAGAACACCCGCTGCTACGTCCCAGGGCTTAAGGTAATCCATCTGAAAGACGTCAATGGCACCGGCTGCTACGTAGGCCAAGGACAAGGCAGCGGATCCTATGTCTCTTACGCTGCTCACAAAATCAGACAAGAAAACCATTAAAATGGCAGTTTAATTGAATTAAAAAGAATTTCTTTAATCTCTCACCCTTGAACTTCATTGGTTAAAGCTTCCATTCGACCCATATCAATATCGTAATGCGTGCTTCTACCGCGCTTTATATCCGCGTTAAGTATCACTAGAGACTTCCTTAATTCTGTGTATGGAAAATTGATGGTCGAAAGAGGGCATTGATATTTTCTTACTAGATTCCAAGAGAATAGAAATATTCACCAGTAACGTCTGAGGTCTGAATATGTTCTCCGTTATAGAAAGCACCTTCACCACGTTTGGCCGTATACAGCTCGTCCTTTGCTGGATTGAGAATGATGCCAATGACCAATTCCTTACCGATAGCAAGAGCAACAGAGATGCAGGATTGTGAAAAAGAGTGGACAAAGTTGACAGTGCCGTCAATAGGATCTATTAACCAGGTCGGTGCGTCTGTCAATTCAGGAATATTTTTCTCTGTCCCTACCGTTTCTTCAGCAATGAATCTGTAGTTGACAATGACAATTGACCAGCGGCAAGCAAAGCGCAACAAATAATAATGTACTTGTAAAGATGTACTATCTTGATGTACTATGTAAAATGTACTATCTTACTTGTGTTCCGGAAACTCTTGACGCAATCTTCTTATCAGCATGTCCTCGACACGTCTATCGTATTCGGTGACAAGGTCCCACTCTGAGCTTTTGGTCTCAACGTTTTTCTTGCGGCCGTATGCACTGCTCATGATCTGTAAGATACGACACTTGAACGACAGACACTGCAGTACGATCTTTACAGTTTTGAAGTCTCAAGTCTTGAGAGTCGACAGTCGTGCCCTCATGCCGACAATTAATACATTTTTCATGACTATTCTTTTAACATTCGTATCAACCTTTCCTGCCTCCAGTGTCAACTCCTTAGCGAATTGGAAGTATCTATCAATCTCTTTGATACTGGCCATCTTTCCTGTTCTCGATCCTCCTGGCTGCGCGACTGACTATTAACGGCAACTAACCATCATCTTATCACGTACGAGAGATGCGTATCTCTGTAAAAAAAAAAAAAACACGCTGATAAAGCAATCCGGCCGCTCTTAACTCGATACTTGGAAAATAACGTTTGTGCCGTGTGCCTGTCATTGTTTGCCACAAACTTGTTTCAAAGCGACTGTCATTTCGGGCGACTCTCACATTTACCTACTCACTGTACCGTCATCGTAATCCTCTTTGCGAGTGAGAAAAATCAAAGACGCGTTAATTACTTAGGACAAATGTTTATTATACATTGCGATAATTGACGTTACAAGAAATTGACAGGGTTTTCTCCTTTTATCTTCGGCGGTATAATATACGTTGATAAAACTCACATAACTGTTTGTTTGTATGTTAAAAATTACACTACTTATTAATTAGCTTAATTACTATATCAACAAAGAACGCGTTAAATTTACTTGTTGCCGTTCTTGTTTCTGCGCGCTGTCGCATGCCGAAATACTATGCAAGTTTTTCGTGTCCACTTCCTTCGTGTGCTTTTATGCTTGGCAAGTGATTAATTTCGTTAGTTGTTAATATCTTTGCTTTCTTTATCTTATGCCTTATTACTTGAGACAGTTCTAATTGTTGTCGACGATTGCTAGGTAAGAATTTTTAAGAGCTACATAAGTGTTGTGAAATATTTACAATTCATAGCAATTAAATAATACATGATCGACAGGATTTTAATCCGATTTAAATAAATCTACTGAGCTATTCGCATAATTTTAGGTACAAGTGACTCTTCCCTCGAGACTCTGAATAAAGTGGGCGAGACCTTCCGTTCAGGGCAGTCAAACGTTTGAGCTGTCATCCTTTGAAATTTTTCAAAGTTTCTCACCCATCCCAATGCTCCACTGATACTGACTTCTCGAGGCATCTTTACTGCATAGCAGCTAACCTCTTCTGTTGGGTTTTGTTATCAGCGTGTTTTATCAGCTTGACCAATTCTTGGGCTAGTTTATGATTGCCGACGGCTAGGACTTTGGGGTTCATCACATTGAACTCTCCTCCTGAAACACGTATGACAAATTTTCATTATCACTTTCGCAAATTGACATTTCTATCGTTTTAGAGTTAGCTCACGTGAAAGAGTAGAATCTATACGAAGAAGAAAATCTCACCACTGGTGTCAATGACGACTCCTCCAGCTTCTCTGATAATGAGAACTCCAGCTGCTACGTCCCAGGGCATCAGGTTGTCAGTATGATAAGCTTCGGCTGCTCCCATCGCAACGTGACAGAGTGTCAGTGCTGCGGAACCTAGGGTCCTTATTCCATGAGCAATAGAGACAAAGGCTTCTAGTCTCCCGAGGATGACGTCCCTGATCTCTGGGATGGTCGCGTACGACGCCTCGATGCAAACCAGAGAGCTACCCAATTCTGTAAGATTCCAAAATCACTCAGATTTAGTTCCAGTCAATTGCCAGATATGTAGCTACACAATTTTCTCCAGTTCTTTTTGCTCACCTTGGACATTGGAGCTCACGATTGGTTTCCCATTAAGGAAAGCACCACGTCCTCTTCTGGCAGTGAACATTTGCTCCAGGATCGGATTATAGACAATTCCCAGTTCCAGCTGCTTGTTGATCGCCAGGGCTATGGAGATGCATGTATGTGGGAAGGAGTGAACAAAGTTGGTCGTTCCGTCGATCGGATCAATGATCCAAGTTGGAGCATCGGTTAGAGGTGGTAAGAAATTGTTCGACGAAACAGTTTCCTCACCGATGAATCTGCATACGCAGAAGGAGAATTGGTTAGAGACAATGCAGAATTCAGAAACCATTGCTTGGTCGACATTAAAGTAAAGTCGGCTATAATTGAAAAATACATGGAGCAAGTAGTGCAGCTTTCCAACATTAGGTTTGCACTTATTCCCTCGCACAATTTAGGCATTGATATGCTTTATTAGACGATATGCTAGATCAAACGTACTTATGGTTGGGAAATTCCTTGGCTAATCCGGCAATCAAAATTTCCTCCACTTTTCGATCGTACTGTGTCACCAGATCCCAGTCACCGGCTTTGGTCTCGATATTTTTGCCACCTTGAAAGGCATCTCGAATCACCTAAAATAATTCATTATCTCAATCACAATTGGAGATGGACGTTCGATCGGTGTATATAGGGTGTCTGTTGTGACAAGCTGTTGGTTATTCTTCAACCGGAGAATACAGTGGTGACAAGCACGAGCAGATTACGGATTTCTATGTTTATCTCTGGGGTTATTTAGTCAAGCTAGAATCACTGCTGGTAAATAAATATTCATATTCTTCGTGAATAGTAGATATTTCCTGAATCGATAAACGGTCATTTATGTTTACGAAGGAACTTCACATTTTTATCGATTTAACCGTTTCTCGCGTTAAACGGGCATGCATAAACTTTTGTCAGTAATAAATGTTCAGTTATGGATAAACAAGATTAATCAATTTTATGTATTATTGTGTGACAGCAAGTACATATGTATTAACGAATGTAGCAATGAAGGGTAAGTTCAGATAACGATACGATTCAAACGGAAAAAAAAAAATGAATTTCTTAAGACGTTCCTACCTTAGCAGATTCCATCGTAAGTTTCATGACGAATTCATAATAACGGTCAAGTTCGATTTGGGAAGCCATTCTTGATGGAATTCACAAAACAAGAATGACGAGTAGAGCGAAGTCGAAGAAGAAGTTGAGATGTAGCTCTAACGTTGACCACTGCTAACCAATGTACTCTTAACTGTTTGGTCGCTTGTGCTGGAGTAACGTGCTGTCCGTGCAAGCTCAGTATTTATTGTGTCAACGTTCGACCCCCACCTCCGCCAAACAACGTTCATTTGACTTAACAAGAATTGAATTCTGCTGGGTTCTTTTCCATAGCTACACATTGTCCACTTCAAATACTCTACTCTGTGACTATACGTATTTCATCCCTATGGAAACTTTGTGACGCTGAGCATTAAGCAGAATTAGAATCTGTACTGTCCACTGTGTACTTTACGATGTGAGAGTCCGTTAAAGGGATTTTACGTCGAGTGAAAGTTTGTGGCTACAAATGTAGCAATTTAGTGCAAAAGAAGGACGAAAATCATATTCATTTTGTGATTCTGTGACTAGTTAATTTGCTTATGCAAAACTTTTTTTTTATATTGTTAATTAGATTTTTTTAAATCTTGTACCCACTGTTTCGATTGAATAGACGAAATTCACAAATCTGTTAACATTTTGATAGGTGCATGCGTCGCGTGCGTGCTTGATAGGTGTACCTGTTACAGGTGCAGTGACTAGCAACGAACACGTGGCTTTAGTATGTCAGAACTATAGTTGCCTTTATTTTTGTTGTATATACATGAGCCTTTCATGCTTTGAGCACGCCGCAGGCTGGTCAGAGTCACGTGCTAGGAACATGACGTCCCATAGAATTGATACCCCCTCAGTAAGAAAACTTCATCGGTTTTTGCTTTCGAGTTATTTTACGAGAGTGAATAAAAGCGAGAGAGAAAAGGAGAGAGATAGTGTAGGACAAGAGAAGAAAAGACAGTTTTTGTATTCTTTTGAAAATCACAATCATACTGTACACATAAGTACGTATACTTACTAATCATCGATAAAAATGTTCATTAATCCAGATTCGATGGGATTTGCATGCGATAACCCATACGAAGCGTGAGAATTTTACGATACTTATTCCTTAAGATTAGCTCATATTATTATGTCTATTGTGAACTATCATTCCTATGAAAAAATTAAGTGACTCTAAGCGATATTGGCGGCAGATAAAGTCCGTCTGGTTCTTCATCTGTATGCGATAGGGAAGTGTCATGTTCATCACATGCTCTGTTTTTTCATTCGGGTAAGTTGTCGTGGTTTTTTGCTGAGCGATTTGCTCAATTGAAAAGTGAAAAATTAGCTACGGCCGATAAAAATAATCGGTTTGTTCGGATAAAATGAGACATTAATTTACGGCATTGTTTTCTGACGGGAAATCAAGATGCATATTATGCAGTTACGCAACTAGCGGTGCTCGAATTAATTTCGTAGATTCGAAAACACGTTCAGTTGCAGTTTCGCTGTTTAAGAGTTTCTGCTTCTCCAAAGTCAAAATACACGTTGTAGAAATTGTCCTATTGTCTCGAGGGGATGGTCTGATATTCTTCTTAGGGTCAACCCTCCACTGTGGAAAATTCCATGGCGTCCCGAAGCGTCGCAATGCACTTTTCTCTCATGTGGCTTTGCAAACTTCATTCGCTTTTCGTTAAACCAGTCATGACAGAGATTATGGTATTTCTTATTGTCAAACGACAGAGAGTATTTGTCCCGCATACTAAACAACCGACTAATTTCACTTCATAGCATTGAGATCAAGTTGACTTAGGTCAGTAAATTCTTCAAGTATGGAAAATATGAAGTAACTTGAGAATATGAACTTTGGAATTCGCGATTTTAGGTAGTCGGCTGCTCTGAGCATCGTTTGGCTATGACGCGCACATTGACAGAAGTACTTGAGAGACAAGGGGGAAGCCAATGAAAATATAGATTTTTCTTGGACTATTATGCGCGAACACGAGCACTCTTTGTGGCCGTTTTTGAAACGCTTCATTGCTTCGTCCAATTGTAGTTTTTTAGATTGGCTATAATGCTAGAGCTAGAGAAGAGAAGCCAGTAGACGGATTCGAATCAAAGTCGATTACACCAGCCAATCAAACAATTGACCGAGAGAGCCGCTTCGGGAGCGGAAGATTTCCTTTGAGATGTTATTGCTTTTGAATAATAATGCATATACATTGTTTCGGGTTTAACATGGAAATTTCCTTCGCATACAGAAAACATTCTGTAAATGCGAGGTCACCTTTTATTGAAGGTCCTAGGTATGATGGAGTTTGGCTACCTGCTGGGACTCCGTTAAAATTCGCCTAAGCAATAGAAAAACTTGTGCGCGTCACTGGAAAAATTGAGGGTAGTAAAATTTTCATAATAAACACGAAATCGGATTCTGTTTTTTTAATTTTAATTTGATTTTGTCTGCTCGTATCGTAATTGATGTATGTCATGAATTCCTTTACGCCGTAGTCAGAGTTCTCGTACGAGTTGGTCTTTTGCTACGTATTATAGATAAGGGAACGATGCGTGTCATAAAGTAACGAATTTTTGCAGAGACAACTTTTTCTTAATTCCTAGTATTAAGGCAGACGTTAAAAAAATGTTAATTGCGTTCATGACTCAAGATATGAAAGAACGTAGCATTTCCGATAAAGAATTACTGTTAAATGAGAAAATATTACGTAACTTGATGTTCTGTGTTTAGGGTCAAGGTGGACCTGGTGGTCCTGGAGGACCTGGACCAGGATCTCAGCAAGGACCTGGTGGCCCGATGGGCCCGGGCCAGATGGGACCCAACGGACCGCAAAGTGGATCACATATGGTACCAGGAGGTCCAGGGCAAATGGGTCCGAATGGACCTGGACAAATGGGACCTGGAGGACCTGGGCAAATGGGACCTGGTGGTCCTGGGCAAATGGGACCTGGAGGACCTGGGCAAATGGGTCCTGGACATATGGGTCAAACTGGAGGACCGCAAGGGGGACCACACATGGGACAAGGAGGACCAGTACAAATGGGTCCTAGCGGCCCTCAGAGTGGACCCGGACCTCAGATGGGACCCGGAGGACCTCAAAATTCGCAAATGGTACCAGGTGGTCCAGGGCATATGAGCGGACCTCCAGGACCAGGACATATAAATGCTACAGGACCTGGCGGGCATTTAGGACCTGGAGGACCCGGACAAATGCCTCCAGGTGGTCCTGGTGGTCACGGAATGGGTGGCCACGGTGGTCCTGCTCAATTAGGACCTGGAGGTCCTAGTCAAATGGGACCTGGTGGTCCAAATCAGATGGGTCCGGGTGGACCGAACTCAATGGTACCCGGCGGTCCTAGTCAAATGGGTCCCGGGGGTCCTAATCCAATGGGACCAGTTGGACCTGGCGGACAAATGGGTCCGAATGGTCCAGGGCAGATGGGTATGGGAGGACCGGGAGGTCAGATGAGCATGGGCGGACCTGGTGGACAAATGGGACCTGGCGGAGGAGGAGGACAAATGGGCCCCAACGGGCCTGCAGGACAAATGGGACCAGGCACCGGACCTGGAGGGCAAATGGGTCCTGGCGGACCTGGCGGTCAGATGGGACCTGGTGGACCTGGCGGACCAATGGGACCTGGAGGTGCTGGAGGCCAGTTGGGTCCTGTTGGAGGTCAAAATCCTCCTGGACAAATGGGTCCTGGTGGACAGAATCAGGGACAGATGTTACCTGGAGGTCCTGGGCCAATGGGTCCAGGTGGACCCGTGAATCAAATGAGTCAAACCGGTCCTGGACAAATTGGTCCTGGTGGGCCTCCCGGACCCCCCGGGCCTGGACAGGAAAATTTAAACGCCCTTCAAAAAGCTATAGATTCCATGGAAGAGAAGGGACTTCAGGAAGATCCACGATATTCTCAGCTCCTCGCATTAAGGGCTCGCCAAGGAAGTAACATGGGAGAGAAGCAGTCATTTAGTTCTCAACAATTACAGCAACTTCGGTATGTTAACACCATATGTTTTATATAAATTTGTATAAAAACTATTTTACCTAAATATTTATTTCTCCTAATTCTCAGGGTCAATAATTACTATTTACGGCTAGACAATAAGTTCGTTTCGTAAGCGTACCTTGAAATCATTAAATAATAACATATTATTCATATCCAGTTTACAGATAATGGCCTATCGACTATTGGCGCGAAACCAACCGTTGTCGCAACAGCTAGCACTTGCTGTTCAAGGTATGAATATTCAATCACTCTCTCTTTCTCTTTAGTATTCGGCCATACATATTCCGTTTTATTTCTTGTATTATGGGTGACTACTCATTCTTTTGTTTTGGATTTCTTTTCCTAGCTTATTATAGTCTAACTTGCCTGCTGCGCACGCATTTATGTTCTATCAAGAGTTAAGATTTCTTTATCGATGTTTAAATTGTATTCCCATATCTTCAACTTGTTGTGTAAGCAATTAATTTTTATGTATCGTTGTCACTGAGTCCTCTAGCAATAAAACGCACGTTGTACGATATAATTATGAAATGTCTATATCGTTGCTTAGTGATTCTATTTGGAATAACAAAAGTAGAGTAGAATGATCCCACGGGACGGAATCCTGATTAAAAATGGACCTAAACAGGTGGAGCACCTCCTCCTCCTCCAGGTATGGCACAGCGTCCCATGGATCCTTCTCAAGGACCGGTTGCTCCCACTGGACCTCAGTTGCCTGGCCCCAATGTGATGGGACCTACTGGCCCACCAAGACCAGGATCTCAAACTCCACAGCAGCAGCAACCGCCGCCACCAGGAGCCAAAACGAATAGGGTAACCAGCGTCGCTAAACCAGCTGGTCTCGATCCTCTTCTTATACTTCAGGAACGCGAAAATAGAGTAGCAGCGCGTATAGCACTTCGCATGGAACAGTTAAGCAACTTGCCGACCAACATGCCTGAGGATCTCCGCGTTCAAGCTCAAATCGAGTTGCGAATGCTGCGAGTTCTGAACTTCCAACGTCAATTAAGATCTGAAATAATAGCCTGTACTCGCAAAGACACCACTCTGGAGACAGCAGTGAACGTGAAGGCATACAAGCGTACCAAGAAGCAGGGTCTCCGGGAGGCCCGTGCTACGGAAAAGCTTGAGAAGCAACAGAAACTCGAGGCCGAGAGGAAGCGTAGGCAGAAACACCAAGAGTTCTTGAGTTCGGTTCTTCAGCACGGCAAGGACTTTAAGGAATTCCATCGCAATAACGTCGCCAAGCTGGCTAGATTGAACAAAGCTGTTCTGAATTACCATGCGAATGCCGAAAGAGAACAGAAAAAGGAACAAGAGAGGATCGAAAAGGAACGTATGAGACGTCTTATGGCGGAGGATGAAGAAGGTTACAGGAAGTTGATCGATCAGAAAAAAGACAAGCGCCTGGCATTCCTTTTGTCTCAAACTGATGAGTACATTAGCAATCTGACGGAGATGGTGAAGCAGCACAAAATTGAACAAAAGAGAAAACAGGTCGAGGAGCAGAAGCGTAAGAAGGTAGGTGTAAAAATTCCTAGAGGTCGTCAACGTACGTCCTCTTCTTGTAATATGGTATTTAAGGAATCTCTATTGTCCAGAAGAAGAAGAAGTTACAGGATAGCGAGAATGGCGAGGATGGTACTACGAACGACGACACCAGGGTTGGCGTGATTGAGACCTCCACTGGACGTACCCTCACTGGTGATGAAGCGCCGCTGATGAGTCAGCTTTCTTCGTTCCTTGAGTCTCATCCAGGGTGGGAACCCATTGATTCCGACAGCGAAGGAGACGACGATGACGACGATGATGATGAAAGTGAGAATAAATTGCGTAGTACGTTTTCTTCCAATAGTGTTTAATTTCAACTATCCGTATTATTCATATACTTAATAGTATTAACTGCTTTACAATTATATCATCTTAACTTTCTTTTTCTATTTTGTAGACAAAGAAAAAGCAATGGGTGATTGTGAGGAAGATAAGGCTAAGAAACCTCTTCATAAGGCTAAGGTCGAGGACGATGAATATAAGACAGAAGAACAAACCTATTATAGTATTGCGCATACCGTTCACGAAGTCGTTACTGAGCAAGCTTCTATCATGGTCAATGGCAAACTCAAGGAATATCAGATCAAGGTTAATTCCTAATGAAAATTATTGCGTGTTTTTTTAGAGTACTGGCTTTTGTATAACTGATACTTTTAGGGTCTGGAATGGCTTGTATCCTTGTTTAATAACAATCTTAACGGTATCCTGGCTGACGAGATGGGTCTCGGTAAAACTATTCAAACGATTGCTCTAGTGACGTATCTGATGGAGAAGAAAAAAGTGAATGGACCATTCCTCATCATCGTACCTTTGTCGTAAGGCATCCTATTAAAATTATTATGAAGAAATGAAACAATCAAAAGCCTAGCCAATCACATGGCCACAATGTCACAATTTTTTAGAACGCTCTCAAATTGGGTTTTGGAATTTGAAAAGTGGGCACCGAGCGTGGTAGTTGTATCTTACAAAGGTTCGCCAGCCGGTCGAAGGGCTATACAGTCCCAGATGAGGGCCACCAAGTTCAACGTTCTCCTGACCACCTACGAGTACGTCATCAAAGACAAGGGCGTCCTGGCGAAACTTCAATGGAAGTACATGATTATCGACGAGGGTCACAGAATGAAAAATCATCACTGTAAGCTTACTCAGGTTCTGAACACTCATTATCTGGCTCCTCATCGGCTCCTACTCACTGGTACTCCGCTGCAAAACAAGTTGCCTGAGCTTTGGGCTCTGCTGAATTTCCTTTTGCCCTCGATCTTCAAGTCTTGCAGCACGTTTGAACAATGGTTTAACGCACCCTTTGCTACTACAGGAGAGAAGGTACGTAACACTTATGACCGACATGAGATTACTGGGAATCTTGAATATCTCTAGCATTAATCTTATCCTTCAGGTTGAATTGAACGAGGAAGAAACTATTTTGATCATTCGACGTCTTCACAAAGTGCTGCGTCCGTTCTTGCTCAGACGTCTCAAGAAGGAGGTAGAATCGCAACTTCCCGACAAGGTTGAATATATTATCAAATGCGACATGTCTGGCCTCCAAAAGGTTCTCTACAAGTAAGTACATCCTGGATAATGACATATTTTATTCTTTTTAATTATTATTTTCTTCGTGCAAATGAGAACTTTCTTTTTTATTAGACATATGCAGAGTAAGGGTGTTCTACTGACTGACGGCTCTGAAAAGGGTAAACAGGGTAAAGGTGGCGCTAAGGCACTGATGAACACGATTGTTCAGCTTCGGAAGCTTTGCAACCACCCCTTCATGTTTCAAGCTATAGAAGAGAAATATTGCGAACATGTCGGGACTCAAGGATCTGCAGTCATTACTGGGTATGTATATGATTTAGCTCTATGTAATTTTTGGAACTATCGTTAATTCGTATTTTTCTTTATGTCCTTTTAAGTCCCGATCTATTTCGAGCATCCGGAAAATTCGAATTGCTCGATCGCATTTTGCCAAAACTGAAAGCAACGAATCATCGTGTCCTACTCTTCTGTCAAATGACACAATTAATGACGATCATGGAGGATTATCTAGGCTGGCGAGGATTTATGTATTTGCGACTGGACGGTACCACTAAGGCCGAGGACAGAGGCGACCTTTTGAAGAAGTTTAATGATCCTGGATCTGAATATTTTCTGTTCTTGCTCTCTACCAGGGCTGGTGGTTTGGGTTTGAATCTCCAAGCAGCCGACACTGTTATTATATTTGATTCCGACTGGAATCCCCATCAGGATCTGCAGGCTCAAGACAGAGCGCATCGTATTGGTCAAAAGAACGAGGTGCGTGTCCTGCGTCTCATGACAGTCAATTCCGTGGAAGAGAGAATATTGGCCGCAGCTAGATACAAGTTGAACATGGACGAGAAAGTCATCCAGGCTGGAATGTTCGATCAAAAGTCAACGGGCTCGGAACGTCAGCAGTTTCTCCAGAGTATCCTGCATCAAGATGATGCTGACGACGAGGAGGAAAACGAAGTTCCCGACGACGAGACTGTCAATCAGATGATAGCAAGAACTGAGGGTGAATTCGAGACATTCCAGAAATTAGATCTGGAGCGAAGAAGAGAAGAGGCCAAGTTAGGACCCAACAGGAAGTCACGGTTGTTAGAAGAAGCTGAACTTCCTGATTGGCTCGTTAAGGACGACGATGAAGTGGAGAGGTGGACCTACGAGGAAGATGAAGAAAGATTCTTGGGAAGAGGATCTCGTCAACGTAAAGAAGTCGATTATTCGGATAGTCTCACCGAGAAAGAATGGCTTAAAGCCATTGATGATGATGTCGCCGAGTATGAGGAGGAAGAAGAGGACGACAAAAAGAAGAAGAAGACACGGAAACGTAAGAAAAAGGGCGAGGAGGAGGATGAGCCTACACCGAAGAAACGAAGGGGCGCTGGAGCTACAGTTGATCCTAAAATGAAGAGAGCGATGAAGAAATTAATAATGGTCGTTGTCAATTATACTGACAGCACCGATGGTAGATTACTCAGCGAACCTTTCATGAAACTGCCATCCAGGAGAGAATTGCCAGACTATTATGAGATCATTAAGAAGCCACTGACAATCAACAAGCTCTTGCAAAAGATCGACGAAGGAAAGGTAAGTCTTGGCATCTTATAATTCGTCAATCAGATTATCTTCTACGGTTCTATTCCAATAATGGTTCCTTTTTTGAATCGCCAGTACTCGGACTTTGACGAGCTTGAGAAAGATTTTATGCAACTGTGCAAAAATGCACAAATCTACAATGAGGAAGCGTCTCTTATTCACGAAGACTCCATCGTTCTACAGTCCGTCTTCACGAATGCTAGACAGCGCCTCGAGGCAGAGGGTAACACTTCCGATGCTGATGATAAAGGTGTGTACACAAGGATGTACATTGTCAAGACTTGGGTTTTATGTGATACATGTTCTTTGTTTCGCAACAGATGGCGAGGATGGTTCAGATGCAGATTCGAGCGTGAGAATGAAGATCAAACTAAAGGGCAAGAAGGGCGAAGGTCGTGGCGGTCGTAGAAAACGGGTGACTAAAAAATATATTTCCGATGACGATGACGACGCTGATGACAATTGAGCAGCGTATAGGTGATTATTTTTGTAAGTGTTCTGTGCGCGAATGTGAATTATTGGCTTTCCCGCGAGTTATCGCAGCCTTTAATTAGCCGATAGACAGAAAGTTCGGTCAGATATCGTAATGAAGGGAAATGATTTTTTTCAATGAAAGGTATAATTATTATTATTATTATTATACACGTGACAGGGTCAGTATCCCTACATCTGTGTAGTAACGCGTGTAGAAATATAGTCGTTTTCATTGAAACAACGCTCATCGAGAGGTAACCGTTGCAAAACGTTTGTTTAACTGTAAATTGTCATACTTAAACGACTACCATTTTCTTTTTTATTTTTCTTCTTCTAAAATTGCGATTTTATTGGAGACAAATTTCTGTGCAATCATTTATATATTTGATTGTCCACAAATGTACAGTAGACACTTAGGTATAAAGTACGATTCGCCAATGGCTGCCCTTTCACGTTTGCGTTCCCGCTAATGTAATTATGTATACTTACGCTTTATTTCTACAAACGTTAGTACGAACTTGCGGTAGAAACGATCGTGCACCTTTTCCTTTTTCAATTTTTTTGTCTCGTTTTTTAATCACTCTTGATTGTGGAAACTGGGTTGGCTCTGTCATTCGGTTGAGAAACGAAAGAACTGTCGAATTAGCGACGATGTCTCCTTTCTCTACCCATTTAAAAAATCAGCATTCCAAAATAGAACCTGCGCACTGAAAAATCACATTTCCGATATTGTTATTAAACATTTCAGTTTACTTTATAGTGACGCTATATGATTAGAAATATGTCCTGCCTCACGTGACTCATATACCAATCGGGAAATTTGGGTCTTAAGCAAATAAGAAAACTAGTATCATCAACCGTAGGCAAAAATGGACCAGGTTCTTATGTAAAGTGTTTTTGTCTCTTTTGCATAGCTGCGAGGACTCATAAGAAATAAGCACTTATAAACAAGATGGGTATGTAGGAGTTTCAACATTCTTCTCTCCGAAAAAAATATTTAATTTTTCTTTGTTCATATATTTTTTCTTCTCATTTTCGGCTCGTATCTCGCAGATCAACACCGCTTCAGGGATCGATATTTTACAAAGTATTAACTTAGTAATAATAAATTATGTAACAAATCGAGTCTCCGCGCATGCACCGATTAATGTACCTGTGGGCTACGCGTCGAGAGCGAATATTGAAATTTTTGGACAAATTCAAATTAATCGCTATTGTTATCCCTTATGGGAAAAGCGATCGCTTAGAAAATAGAGCCACTCGGGCCACGTTTACATAATAACAAATACAAAGAAAGAGATGAATACTGATGGTGAATCGAGAATGACGGACACGAGACATTTGAAAACGCGGCTCGAGCGCCATTTTTTATTTTACAATGCGTTAAGAGACGTGCGACCCGACGATTTACTATTTCTCAATGAATTCTTACAAAGACTAGAAAAAGAATGATGGATCTTAATCGTTATATCGTAATGTAACTGTAGCTTGTACGTACATATATAAACATGAGATAATAAAGACCAATGAAAGGAAATAAAATATGTTAATTTTATTGCAAACTTTGTTGGTTCCGAAATCTTTAATAAGAATTAACCCACTGAAATTTTCGACGATGCGATTTTCAAATTGCATTCGGAATTATATTGTCGAACAAAGTTCACTCGTTGTCTCAGAGATGGCGCCACTTATCATGCCCAGGAGGTGCTGCCACCTTATCGGCGAAAATTCGAACTAATGCGAATTCTTTAATAAGAATTTATCCATTGAAATTTCGACGATGGGATTTTTCAATTGAATTCGGAATTATTTTATCGAGAAAGTTCACTCGTTCTCTCAGAGATGGCGCCACATATCATGCCCAGGAGGTGCTGCCCTCTTATCGGCGAAATTTCGAACTAATGCGAATTCCTTAATAAGAATTTATCCATTGAAATTTCGACGATGGAATTTTTCAATTGAATTCGGAATTATTTTATCGAGAAAGTTCATTCGTTCTCTCAGAGATGGCGCCACATATCATGCCCAGGAGGTGCTGCCCCCTTATCGGCGAAAATTTGAACTAATGCGAATTCTTTAATAAGAATTTATCCATTGAAATTTCGACGATGGGATTTTTCAATTGAATTCGGAATTATTTTATCGAGAAAGTTCATTCGTTCTCTCAGAGATGGCGCCACATATCATGCCCAGGAGGTGCTGCCCCCTTATCGGCGAAAATTTGAACTAATGCGAATTCTTTAATAAGAATTTATCCATTGAAATTTCGACGATGGGATTTTTCAATTGAATTCGGAATTATTTTATCGAGAAAGTTCATTCGTTCTCTCAGAGATGGCGCCACATATCATGCCCAGGAGGTGCTGCCCCCTTATCGGCGAAAATTTGAACTAATGCGAATTCTTTAATAAGAATTTATCCATTGAAATTTCGACGATGGGATTTTTCAATTGAATTCGGAATTATTTTATCGAGAAAGTTCATTCGTTCTCTCAGAGATGGCGCCACATATCATGCCCAGGAGGTGCTGCCCTCTTATCGGCAAAAATTCGAACTAATGCGAATTCTTTAATATGAATGCTTCATAAGTTCAAAATTCAAAAAAAAGTCTGCGAGAACCAAAAAGTAAAGGAATTTTTTGAAAGTGGCCCTATCGCAATCTAACCTGTACCAGCCTCTTCTATGGAGTATTCTGACTTTCTGCATTAAGAGATCTTTCAAAATTACAAGGAAAAAGCTCTAAACCTAGCCGTTTTCGAGATGCAGCCTCCCAGAGGTGCAATTTCGAGAATTGAATATCAAACTATATAAGGAGTAGGTGAAGGATGCAGTTAGGACGGAGGAGAGTAAGAGAGAGACAGAACTCATTCTTACTCTGGGATATTCGCATAGGGCAAAATAATATCAAAGTGTATAAGTGTTACAAAATAATTTATTCAACAAATGCAATAATGATACAGTACACAAAGTACAGATGTACATATACAGTCCGCGAGAGATTAGTAATATCAATACTATTAGAAATATATTAAAATATAACTACAATATAATATACGTGT